ACAGTATGTAAATTTTTTTAAACTTTGTGCATATGAGCATGTGATATGTGTACATGTGTGATATGTGTGAATGTGGACACACGCTTGCCATGATGGATGTGAGAGGACAGTCCTCACTTTGTACCTTGTCTGTGTCAGCTTCCCCAACCAAAAAGGGAGAATTAATTTATTTAACAGTATTTGAAAACAGTGATCATAGATTGTTCCATGATATACAGCCTAAATTTACCGATAGTTTGTAAGTTCATAATATTTCTGCTATGACTAATTATGAAACTAGTCATTTTAATTGCAATATGTTGTGGAAGATTCTTAGGATGCAAGCTTGTTTGTGTGTTTGTTTGGAGACAGTCTTATTATGTAGTCCTAGCTCACTTTGAATGCATAAAGATCACTTCCTTCTGCCTTGCAAGTGCTGGGATTCAAGTGTGTACCATCATAGCCATCTGCAAAACTAATTTGTAGAGTGTGTGTGTGTGTGTCTGTGTGTGTGTGTGTGTGTGTGTGTGTGTGTGTGTGTGTTGTTGTTGTTGTTGTTGTTGTTGCAGGAAAGTAAGCTATATAAAAATTAAAATATGGAGAAGCTGAGGCAGAAGGATCTTGAGTTTGAAGCCACCGTGAGCTAGTGAGAACCTTTCCCAAAAAATTAAGCCTAAAATAATTATTGTATTTGTTAGGATATACATATTTGGGTGGAGTTTAAGGGGAAAAAAATTAAAATTACGTCTGGATGGGACTGGAGAGATTGCTCAGCAGTTAAGAACAGTACTTATTTTCCAGAAGACCCAAGTTGAGATCCCAACATCCATATCTTCAGGCAACTCTAAACTACCTATAACTCCAGCTCAGGGGATCTGACACCCTCCTTTGGCCTCTACTAGAACTTGAACATATGTGTCATACATTCACAGAAGCACACATAAACATAAATGGAAAAAAGTGAGAAGGCTAGAAAATAAGTATTCTATACATTTGATTTTTTTAATGATTGTATCAAATTATTAAGAATTTATAATATATTTAATAAATTGAAAATAATGTAACAATTTTAGTTTTGTAAGGATAAAATAGTTTATATTCTCACAGTAAAGAGAAGCCTTAATTTGCAGGACAATTTTTTGGCAGTATGTCTAACATACTTTTTATTCCCATGAAGTGGAACCAAACACAGCTGAGACCACGGGCTGACTGTACACTAGAAACCAGCCAGTGCCAGGAGCAGAGTAGAAAAGAGATAAAGAAATGAGACCCAAACACACAACATTCCCCTGGGACCTGAGGCCAGGAGTAAAACCAGGACTGGATTCCACAGTCAAAACCGGTTCCAGGACGAGGGTGGAAGGGAGAGAGGTAGGGGCTTGGAAGCAGTCACTCACTCTTGGTATTTCTATTCAGTTGTCCCTCTTTCTTAGAAATACAGAGGCAAAAAAGATTGGACCGCTATCTGTGGCTGCAATTCACCATCAGAAGTCAGGACCAAAAGCCTCCAGGGTGGTGTTGTGTTCTCTTTTAGTCTGCTTTTCCTTAGGAACTAAGTTATGTGTTTATGGAGGGCAGAAACCAAACCATACATTTCTATTTCTATCAGTACTGGGTCCATCTAACTGCCCTTTTTTCATTCCCAGTTTACTTCAACTTCAGTGGAAGCAAGATTTGGATAAAGGTTTGGAGCTTATCAGCAAAGCTATTGAAATTGACAACAAATGTGATTTTGCATATGAAACCATGGGAACCATTGAAGTGCAGAGGTAATTTCTAGAGTTTCTTCTTAGAAATGTAATGAAGCACCATAGATTTTTGGGTTTCATTCTCATTACATACATTTGATTATCAGTCGATAGCCATTAAATTTTTAAAGTTTGCTGGACTTTTGATGCACACTTCCCTAAAAATTAGGGACATTGGATTTGCCTCATTTCATTATTTTTCCAAATTAAAAGTTACACTTGTAAAAGCTGTCATGCTTGTCCCTTAAAAAGTGAGACTGGGTCTTTATGTATTGTGTATGATTTCTTTTTTCACTTTGATTGTTCTTGTGGGAAGACCAGAAACACCTGGTTTAGTTAGTCAGTGTCAGTTACAAGGAACACATAGCCAGGCTGAAGTGGGTTCTGGATCCTGCTACAAAGAAGCAACCAGCCAAGAAACTGGACAAGTTGTACCATCTTATGAATTTTCATAAAAACCTTGGTTTGGTTGGATTTCTTACAGTTCTGATTTCCCATTATTTGTTTTGTGTAACTATTTACCAAGAATTGCACTTACGATCATTTACTATTGACAGCTATGTATGTAGTGGACTATACCATCTTAATACTGGCATTTCCTCCAGTACGTATTCTAGACCAAGTACTGAAGGTCAGTGTCTTCCAAATTTCACTTCTGTTGACTAATCCCCTGTCTTTTTATGATCCCAATATACGATTAAAGAGTACAGAAACTAATAGTCAGGCTGACGAGGCTAACAAGGTCACCCTGAGATATTAGTGAGGACAGATTTGAGTCCACACTTCACTGAGGTCAAGGTGACTAATCTTGCCACTATCACTTGTCAGGAGGTCAGGTCTTCCTAGTTCCTATTAGGCTGCCCTTCTGTGGCTCTCTTTCCTCCAAAAGACTAATGAACATTGTGGTTCTTCTGATGGCGGGTATATACAAATATCTTTTCTTAACTACGAATTAGTTACTGCAAATAAAATAATGTTTTACTAGGATAGAAGAGTGGTTCCTAATTATGCTTGAGCATAACTCTGGATTCTTCTTAGATTAGTGCATATAAAAACACTTCACATTTAATTTAAGGTATTCACAGACATTGCCTTAAAAGGATGGGGGTTGAGGGAATTTTATGAGTTAAACTGTACTTTGGAAGTCCACTGGGGATGGAACTAAGTTGATAGAATGCTTGCCCAGCATACCTGAGGCCCTAAGTCCATTCCCCAGCACTCCAGCTGGGCATGGGGACAGACTTCTGGAAGAACTCTGGAGGTTGAGGCAGAAGGATCAGAGAAGTTCAGGGTTCTTCTAAGCTACATAGGGAGTTTTAGGTAAGGCCGGGCTAGAAATCTTGTCTCAAAAAAGGAAAGAGTTCATTTGTAAATCCTACCTTAAAATTAAATGATTGGCATTGCTGGTTCTGCTAAATTTTGTAGATCTGTAGTTCATTATGTTAGCCATATGCTGTAGGAAGATAAATATGGTTACCTTTAGGGGTTCTTACAGTCTAACTGACAGTTAAATAATATTGACTTTGATTTTAGTTGCAGGATTACACACATGCACACATGCATGATATATAGTTTTCCTAAACAGTTGTTTCTTAGTAACTATAAAACTTAGCTACACCTAAATGTAAGAGGTAAACTTTGTTAGCCACAGCATGTCATCCATTTATTGAGGGAACTGAAAGGTACCCATCAGTGAGCTAGTAGATGGTGTGAACATTGATCTGCCTATGAATATAGGGACAGTAGAACTCTGGGCAATATTGGGAATAAAGTGGTTAATTCTTCTGGGAAGAGAAGGTGGAGGAGTATCTTGTGTAAAGTTACACTGTTTGAAATAGGTCCTAAGGCAAGGATTTGAGGTTTGGCATGATCAAGGAACTTAGATTGACCTGTGACTGCATGGAAGTTCACAGGTTTGAGCATTGGGGGGAAGAGAAGAGATAAGAGTGTGTGTGGGCTTACATGGTCCTTCAAGGGGCAGGCCTCTGAGGGCTCCTAGTGTTCTCTGAGGTTGTTGCCATAAGCCTCACATTTCAGCAGAAACATGGAGACTTTTAGACCCCAGGAAGAATTGTGATTTTTAAATAATAATTTAATTGCCCTAGTCTTACCGTATTTAAACGAAGGATACAAGATAATATAGAATAGTATTTTTAAGAATAGTTAGAATTCATTGGTACTTTCACTGTGCTGTAGTTGAAGGCTTCATGAAGCACAGTTAAATTTTATTGGTTATTGAAAAGTGCTTGTTAAAGAATCTTTGAAATTTTGATTTCTTTTTTTAGAGGAAACATGGAGAAAGCCATTGACATGTTCAACAAAGCTATCAACCTGGCCAAGTCAGAAATGGAGATGGCTCATCTGTATTCACTTTGTGATGCTGCCCATGCCCAGACAGAAGTAGCAAAGAAATATGGATTAAAACCACCGACATTATAAAACCAAGGGGAAAGCAGACTGACTCTTTTTAAAAGAAGTTTACCCCTTCTTCAACTGAACCCTGAACACACTGTCATGAACTGTGTTGAATGGTGGAACTTCGTATTCCCTTTGTGATGTTGTCATTCATTACATCTGTTTCATGTTTAGGTGTTGTGGCTGTTGAAGGAAGTTTGCAGTCTTGCAGCTTTTATTCCCTGTGCAGCAAGAGCTTAGAACCTGTTAAAGGGATATGAAAACAAACTTGTAGAATACAAACAGTAATTGGCCATGCAAATAAAAACTTTGATTTGTTGATTTGCTTTTTTTTATATTGGGGTGGGGATTATGTTCTGATTGATTTTGTTTTTATAGCTGTTTGTATAATATGAGTGTTTTATAGTATGTTGGTCTTTAACATAGTAAGTGCTGTAAAATAGACTTCTTTTATATTCAATTAATCCTTTTTAATTTTTTTGAAGGATGAAAAGCTTCAATATGGATTTCAGTAAAATTGAAAGACTTTAAGCTATTGTCAGCATGCACAGTGCCTCTGATTCTGTAGTACTTTAGTAAATTATGCAGAAGCAAACTATTCTGATTGATACTTGTACGGGAAGACTATTAATGAGGGACTGAACAAGGAAGGTAAGATAAGAGACGTGTATATAATTGCCCGTGCCTATTCCATAGTAAGTACTATTTAATAGTGTGCTTTTTAAAGAAAGTGGGTGTATGTGAACAACCCACATACAGATGGAGTACATGTGATGATATATAGGAATATTTAATTAGTTTAAATTTTCTAGTGACAGAAATATGGTAAAGGTTCAAAAAGGACGTCAGTCCTGGAGCCAGAGCATACTTTTTTGAAATGACAAGTTTAATGCTTTAGCTGTGGCTGTATTAACTTAAGGGATTTTGAGCCAGTATTTTCAGAGATGTCCAATACATAGAGTACTTTTTGTATTGAGGTAACCTTGACCTCTAAGGACTGTGGTCCATGTCCACATCTCCAGGGATACTGACAGTTGACTTTACTTTTTGTTCTGTTCATTTTTATCTGTACCTCATCTTCTCTTTGGAATCACTAAGGTATGTTTCCATTCATTACTTTCACAGACTATCCTTTTGCTTATTTATATGCTGGATTTTTCTGGGGGCGGGGGCGCAGATTCTTACTGAGTCTGTTTCCAAGATCCAGGACAGGTAGAGGTTTATTTACATGAAATGATTAAAAAGAGCAAGTCTTTTAAGACTTATGGACATGACGTCTAACTATAGTTTACATAGTTGAGAGTAAAGGAGCATTTTACACTCTTATTTAAAAGGGTGCTTCATCCCACTGAAACCAAATGATTCTGTCTACAAATGCTGTCTTTTTAGAAACTATTAGAAATGACTCTTTTAATGTTAGTGTTTGGACAATATTGGTAAGCCTATGGCTGATTTCAATAGGGGCAGTTAATATGATTTAAGGTGATTGATTGGGATAATGGAAAGTTGGAGAGCTCTTCATTTTGTTCTGAAATAATTCTCCAATGATGATAACCCTAAATACAGGAATGTCCTACATCTCTGAATGTGACCTCTTTGCTTAAAAAATTTTTTTTTTATTTGCATGGCTCTATTTACATTAATACTGACATTTTCTACTCTGCTCCCTTCTTTCTTGGGGCTGGGTAGGAAACAATGAAGCATGTGCCATTCAGTACTATCATTCCAAATACTCACCAACTTTTTTGCCTGTTGTGAGCATATTTGAAGCTGCACTAAAGCTGCATCTGTCTGTATCTTTTCTTTTGTAAATGGCTTCACATGTAAATTCACAAAATAAATACTACATTCAAGCTTTTCTATCTATTCTTGTAACAGATAGGTAGTTTGTTCATTTATTAACTAATACCCTTTTCAGTCAGTCTCTTGTTGGTTAAGACTAACTTTGGAAATAGACATATACAAGTTTTTATTAGTATGGTTGGGAAAATCCTAAGACTATTCATCCCTGTAACAATGAAACAAAGCTCTCTGGAGAGCAGTAGCTGAAGAACCCACTTCTTCGTCTTTATCTGTATCTTATACTTGTATAGCCACCTAGAAAACTACCTGTTAGATGTTGTCATGGGGCTCCGTTCTTCATACTGTTTAGGGAGTGGACTTGTGATTGTAAGCTAAAGCCATAAACCGAATAAAGTCTTAGTGACCTTGGGTTTGATATACAACAGAAAAAGAACAAATTTCAAAAGGAAATAAAGGAGGGCTGGAGGGGTTTGGTTTCAAGAATTACACCCATATGTGGCAGCTCACAAACTGTCTGTAACTAGCTGTAGATCTAGCTTCTGGAGCCAGGCACCAGACACGTGCTGTGCAAACATGCATGCAGGCAAAATAAGTAAACACATAAAAGTAATCATTTTAAAAAAATAAAAAGATAACTTGTCCTTCATGAAAATGCACAATGTTTGTTCTTCAAATAATTCTTTAAAAAATGAAAATTATCCAGGTGGTTGCTATAATCCCAGCTCTTGGGAGGCAGAGGCAGGTGAATCTCCATGAGTTCAAAGTCAGCCTGGTGTACAAAGTGAGTTCCAGGACACCCATGGTGGGTACACAGAGAAACCCTGTCTCAAGGGGAAAAAAATCAGTTAGTTGGCATGGTGACAGAAGCCTGTAATCTCAGCACTGAGGAAGCAGAGATAGGAAGGTCACATGGCAAGACACAAAATAATGAAATACTAAGAATGGGTGAAGTTCCAGCTGTGTGGGAAAACATGTGTAGCATGTGAAGTCTCTGTTAAATCCGCACTGTGGGAAGGGTAAATGTCATTTTCCCCTCCTCAGAGTAGGAGACTGTCAAACAATACTTGAAAAAGAATTTACATCAAAATAGGTAAGTAACAACACTTGATAAATAAAGCCATAAAAATATGGGCAAAAGGTATCAACTGATACTTCACCAAAGATATATGTGAAAAGAGGTTAGTATCAGTCATTAGATAAATCAGTTTTCAAAAATACCTTTTGTCCTACTGTATGAGGCATACATGTGGAAGGCAACATTCTAGAATTGGCTCCTTCCATCATAGGTTCCGAGGACTGAACTAGGTTATCAGGCCTGCAAAGCCAGTGCTTTACCCACTGAGCCATCTCTCCAGCCCAAGAAAGAAATAGTAAACTTAACAGTGAAGAAGCTGGTCATGGCATGGTGCCTGTAATCCCAGCACTGGGGAGGCGGATGTAAGAGAACGCCAGCTTCAAGGCCAGTATAGGCTACATAGCAAGACACCATCTCCAAAAAAGGAAAAGTATAATAAAAATTTAACCATCCTGAGTGTCAATGAGGATAGAGAATAGGGGACAACTAGAACTCATATAATTGTTGGCAGCAGTATAAAATGGTATGACCACTTTGGAAAACAGTTTAACAGTGAAATAGATATTGAACCCACCAATCCACTCCTAAAGACATGAAAACCTTTATTTCTTTATTTCTTTTTTTTTTTTTCGTTTTTCGAGACAGGGTTTCTCTGTGTAGTTTTGCGCCTTTCCTGGGACTCGCTTGGTAGCCCAGGCTGGCCTCGAACTCACAGAGATCCGCCTGGCTCTGCCTCCCGAGTGCTGGGATTAAAGGCGTGCGCCACCACCGCCCGGCCGAAAACCTTTATTTCTAACTCTTTGATTTGAAAGCCGGGAAGAACTCGATGTCCATCAAGTAATACATCTCTGATGCACAGGTAAGATAAACTGTACCAATAAAAGTACTAGGTTGTAATTCACTTTTTACATAATTCTAGAAAATTCAAAGTACTCTGTGGTGGGAAAGCTTACCAGTCATTGAATAGCTAGAGAGGTTACAAGATTATAGGGAGGGCCTGAAGAGATGGTTAAGAGTGCTTACTGCTCTCTTCTCTGGGAGAGAACCTGAATTCAGTTCCTATCACCCACATTGGGCAGCTCATGAATACTTCTAACTCAAGCTCCGGGGGAGTTCCTCTGGCCTCTGAGAGCACCTGACATAGCCACACATGGACATGGATAATATATTTTTAAAGCTTATAGGAAACTTCCAGTGGTGGTACACATACTCACTTTCATGATTGGTATTTCATAGTTTTATATGTGTACCAAATTTTACCAAGTCGTATATTTCATTTTTTAGTCACTTGATTTTGTTACTCTGTGAGTAACCACAGTAAGACTGACTGACTGACTGACTATATATATATATGTCGTATGTGTGTGTATATATATATATATATATATATATATATATATATATAAAAGTTTTGACTTAACCAGTATGGTAAATAGCTATTATATATTGAATCAGTTGTGTTAGAGCAGTATTGTACAGGCCACAGAGCCCAACTGTGCATCTATTACTGTTTAGAAGCAACATATTAAACTCCATTGTTTTCTTTTTTGTGGACTTTTTATTTCTATTTGTCTTATTGCTTTTATTTCTATTTGTCTTTTGCTTATTGGTTTTGATTTTCATTTTTGTAGAGTTTTTTTTTGTTTTTGAAAGAGAACAAAGTTGGATGGGGAGGAGTTGGAGAGGGGGAAAACATCAAAATATATTGTATGAAAGCCAATTTTAATAAAAATGTTTTTGAAAACATTTGGGATATTAGTACTGTGGAAATCCGTATTCCTACAAGAGTCCATTTTCTCAGACAGCTGAGTATCACACCTTGACCAGCCTACCACTAGCTACACAGACAAACAAGAATGCTTAGTCTTCAGGTTTTAATTGTACAAAAGGTTCTTAAGACTGAAATGCCTAAGAATCGCCAGCCTAAGTAGTTCTTTATCAGGGGAGCTAGAACATCGGACCAAGCAAATTTAAAGAAAAGTCTTCACTCAATAAGGGGCTTGTGACACAGATCAGTGGTAGAATTAACGTGTGTAAGGCTGGGTTCATTTTCCCAGCACTGACCCTAAAAAGAATTTAGTAAAGTTGATTATCATACAGAGTACCATCCTGCTTGTGATATGTCGGGAACAAATTTCAGGGCTTCTTTGTCTCTACTGCATAAAGGTCTGTTCTTTTCTGTTTAAAAATGGGAATTTGCTGCCGAATTTCAGCCAGCTTCTTCAGGTCTGCAAAAACAGGAACATGCATGATGAATAATTTGCAACTCCTTACCAACCAACGAGATTCTTCCCCAGACTAAAAACAACCAGTCTTAGCAAGTGACACAGTAACATTCGCCTCATCTGGACGCTGTTGTCCTGGTGCTGGTCCTGGGCTCAGTTCAAACCAAAGAAAGCCCAGTGAGACGGAGTCCCAGAGCTCATCCTCAGAACCAGATCCAGAATAGCAACCAGAATAGAAGAGCAGGACACCTGGACCACAGCAGTGCAGATCTTACCTATGTCTGAGTATAGGATCATTTCCTCAGTGCCAGCTTTGGTTAGGACCTGTCCCCTGAAGGAGATTGAGAGAATGAATTGGGATTTCGCTGACATCTGGTGATAGTCAAATTCTCAATATTTTCCTCCTTGTCTAACAGGCCAAAAGAAAGACTCTAAGATCTAAAACAAGAAAACAGTATAAATTCGGAATCTACTATTTATGTTGTTTAATAAACTGCACATTGCTAGAAAATGATAGCTATTCTATGATTATAAATATATGGGAATAGAGCTATCAATAATCAACAGGACGTACCAATATACTTCCTGGTGAAGCCCCTTCCAAGGATGTTCTCCTCCAGTTCCTCATACCCTCCCAGCTGTTACCACACCTGAGGGTAGTGTGGCTGGGCCTGTGCAGGACCCAGATGTACTAGAACAGTGTTTCTCAACCTAAAGGGTGAATGACCCTTTGACAGGGGTCACCTAAGACCATAGGAAAACAGATAAAATAAGTTATGAAGTAGTGACAAAAATAATTTTATGGTTGGGGTCACCACCACATGAACTGTATTGAAGGGTCGCAGCATTAGGAAGGTTGAGAACCACTGTACTAGAGCCTCTACATGTGTGGCTAAGATCCCTGGAGGGAAAGACTAGCCTACAAGGTCTGAGTGAAAGTGGTAAGAGTCTATATGCTGGCAGGAGCAACAGCCCTTTAAAAGTCCAGGGGAAGGCTAATCTGGAAAACTATTTCCAGTACCCAGCCTTTTGGCCCAGCGCAAGAGCTCAAACACACATCTAGAGAAATTATTAATTTCTAGAATAATATGTCATAACAAACCATCTGGCATAACTGATTGTACTCATCAGTCACAAACTCCTGGAAAGGATGAACTACTAATACCATTAGTTTCATTTGATTAAATCCTCTTTTCTAATTTCCACCCATCTGTCCTGCCAAATTCAAAGTTCTTTCTCTATGTAACCCCAGATACCAAAACCCTTCAGAAGAAATAAAAGGGTAGAGCACATAGCACATGTAATTACTCTTCAGAAACAGCCACTCTAGGTAGCAATCAGAACTGGCTGTAGAGCCTGTACCAACATCTAGACAGGAACGTGACAGAAGCCAACCTAACCCCTCCAGTTCTCCAGTGCCCATAAACCGTGGTATGTGGAACTACTGAGAATCAGTCGTCACATCTTGTGAAGCCTCTGCATCACACACACACACACACACACACACACACACACACACACACACACACACACACACACACACGGGAAACCTCTTGGGACCCCATAGGGATATTTAAACTTTAAACTCTTGGTTTGATGATTAGTCTGTTTATTCTGAAATTGTAGAAATGCTTTTGTGTGTGTGTACATACACAGAAGTACCATGGACTAAAGCCAGCTTCTGAAGTCCAAAGGTCTAGTAGGGACGCATGTCAGAGTTGAAATCCTATGTGTGAATGTATGCTGTAAACTTAACACCTGCAGTTACCAACCATGCGGCTTATCCCTGGAGAAAACTCTGCCACTGGACAGATGTTTTATGTTCACATAAGGTAAAGTGCTTTACCTTTTCACAGGGGACAGCTAGTTTCCTCTAACCCAGTGGTTCTCAACCTTCCTAACACTGTGACCCTGTAATACAGTTCCTCATGTTGTGCTGACCCCTAACCATAAAATTGTTTTCATTGCTACTTCATAACTGTAATTTTGCTGTTACAGATATATAATTATATGTAATTATATACAATACATATAATAAATGTGCATAATGTAAATATCTGATATACAGGATACCTGATATGAGATCCCTGCGAAAGGGTCATGACCCACAGGTTGAGAGTCATTGCTTTAACTCATTCCCCTATCTTTCTAATCGTTACATGGGGAGTAACATTTTTGCCTTATTTCTCATTCCTACCCTGGGACCAGCCACTTAGCCTAAATTTTAGCCAAAAGCTAAGAATTCTGGAATCTTTTACTAAAACCAACTGCCTACCCCACTGCTGCTGCCTTACTTATTTTGTATGATTGCCAAGACAGCTCCTTAGACAAGCAAAAGAGGACAAAGGCCAAGGACAGCCTGGCAAGCAGGATGGTTTTCCTCACAGGGATTGGAAGTGGAAGCCCCCCTTATGCCTGTTGGGATATGTGGGTAAAAGAGAGGAGGCATTTCGGGGGAGACAGTCCTGTGTCATCTTTCAGTTTCCAGCTGAGCTCAGCCTAAGACACACTCACCAAGGATCCACAACAGTGCTGTGTCCCCAGACCACATATGAGGCTTTGTCATCCCGGGCAGGAGAGGCTGTAGCTACGTACACTTGATTATCAACAGCCCTGTTGTCAATAGACAGACAGAAAGCAAATACTTTACACTTTGTAGACCTGCAATATGTTTCTTTTTTTTTTGAGACAGGGTTTCTTTGTGTAGCTTTGGAGCCTGTCCTAGAATTCGCTCTGGAGACCAGGCTGGCCTCAAACTCACAGAGATCCGCCTGCCTCTGCTTCCCAAAGGCTGCGATGAAAGGCGTGCACCACCACCACCCAGATGCAATATGTTTCTATCCAAGTGTATACAGTTATTAAAAAAAAAAAAAGACAGAAACCATGAAAACACTAGAAGAAAACATAGGAAAAGGCTTCTGGACATTGGGATGAGCAATGATTTTTAGGAATAAGACACAAAAATAGGCACATGGGATTATGATCAAACTAAGACAGCAAATGAGGGTACCAAGAATGGCAAGAAAAGCTCCAGGAAGGAGAAATATATACAAATATGTAGCTAACATCTCTAAAATCTCAATATCACAAGACAACCCAATTTCAAAATGGTGAAGCATGTCTGTAACTCCACCAGTCGGGAGGCTGAAGCAGGAGGATTCAGAGTTCAAAGTCAGCCTGGCCTACTTACTGAGACTCAAGGAAGAGCAACAGAGCTAAATAGGTATTAAAAAGAAGCCAAGCAAATAGTGCTACAATTCAGGGCCGGAATGTCCTCCAAAGGCCCATCTGAGGCTGACTCCTCAGCCCACAGCACTCTTGGGAGGGGAGCTAATACAACTTTTATAGGGAGTAAGTCACAGAGACAGAAATTAGGCTATTGGGGGTGCCCTGGAAGAACACGGGACCCCAGCCCCTCCTCTCTTTTCTGCCTGGGGTGAAAAGGCCCACACTACACTCTCCAGTCAAGTGAAGTGAAACCTCTGAAAGTAGGGCCAAGATACGCTGTCCATCCTTCTAAGTTCTTTATTTAGGGCATTTTGTCACAATGATAGACAGCTGACAAACCAAATGGCCAACGTAAATATTTTAAAAATGCTCAATATCACTAATCATCAGGCAAATGCGACTCGAAACCATGATGACCAACCACAAACTGCCTCACTCTAGTTCAAATGGCTGTCATCAAGAAGTAAGAAATCCCGGTGAGGGTGTGGAGAAGAAAACCACTACTAATGTGACTGTAAGTTAGCATAGCCATTGTGGGAAGGAGTAGAGTTTCCTTCAAAAGTTGTAAACAGAACCTGTGGTCCAGAAATCCTACTAAAAGGTATAAATCTAAATGAAATAGAATAGCACATGAAAAAAAAAATCATCTGAACCCCAGCATTGCTGGGCTATTCACAAGAGCCAAGAAATGGTAACATCCTGTGTCTGTTAACTGACGAGTAGATAAAGATCGTACTGTGTACAACAGAATGGCGCTTAGCCATTGCAAAATGGATGGAACTGGGTTGGTGAAATAGTCCACAGACACACAGAAAAAAGGAAGGAGAGAAAGAGGCATATGTACAATCTAAAATAAATTGATTTTATAAGCTAGGCATGGCACAGGCCTTTAATCCTAGCATCTTTAGAGGGCACTGCTATGGCATTGGAGACCATATCCAGCAGAACTCTTTGTGCAGATTCACCCTTTCTAAATGCATCTGGATGCCAGGACAGGCTGGGTTGGGGCAGAATTCCACTTAAGGCTGATACTCCATCAACACTGATTGATTCCTTTCTTACCGGGCTCGCTGGAGCAACTCCCAGTGGGCAGGTCCAGTGGTCAGATTGAAAGCTCCGGGATACACCAAGAGCTGGCAGCCTCCAGGCATGAAAGAAGAAAATGCAATGATGAACACTCGATGACTCTGGTCCCACCCTGTATTCCTTATCCAACAGAGCCAAACTCAAACTCTTCCACACACAGAAAGAGGTCGGTCTGGTAAGACACAGACAGATACGACTCTGAATTTAAAAGTCTTAGAGCTATTCCTATAAAACACAGCCACAAGAAAAATGAGCTGGATGGCTGACATCAGAACTTGTGCCTTCACTTTTAAAAAAGTAGAGAGCTGTAATCAAAACATTGCTCGGCGCCAGATGGTCAGCACCGCACAGTGAAGTGTGTGATGTGACTTTCCAACCGATTGGGGCAATACGGTTTCCGACACTGTTATGCCCAGGATGCACGCGCCTCATCTGCTGAACAGCTGTCAGATCATCCGTACCACTTCACTTAGGTAAGTGCCAGTGGTTTCAGAGCCCTCGTAAGGACACTGGGATATGCTGAATGCCATCAGACGGGCTTTGTAAGTTCTCTCCTTGGTCCTCCTTCAGAGCAGTTCTCTGAGGGAGCTAGAAACCACACCTCTTTAGAGAGGAAAACTGAGGGATCAAAGTGCTGTGCCAACTAAGGGGAAGGGCTAGAACCAGAATTCGGATCTCCTGACTTGGCTCATTCTATTTTACAAACAGGAGGTCTTGTCCAGACCAAAATATTACTGACTATATATGTGAGTACTGAAATCCAAGAGGGTACAGACCATTGCTCCATTTCCAGTGAACTCCCTGTAACTTGAGCACAGTGATAGGAGGGAGGCAGAGGGTGGACAGGATATTCGGGAACGAAGCTTCTGCTTTGGCTACACAGTGTATGAGATCATATCCCCCAAACCATATCATCAGCAGAAGTCTGTTTAGCAAGCTGGTGTGGTAGACCTGGACATGAATACATTAACACTACCTCCAAGATTTTGTGCATTTGTGCAAATTTTCTGTTTTTGTTTGTCTGTTTTGTTTTGGGTTTTTTGTTTTTGTTTTTGTTTTTGTTTTTTTTAGCAACTTCATGTTAAGGGCTTCCTTCATGCCACAGGACCATCCCTCCCAGAATCAAACCTCTGAGTAGCTTCCCAACCCACCTGTATAGTATTATCTCACCTTTCTGTGCATAGATTTGTGCAAGTTCTGCGAAGCGCATATCGTAGCAGATGCCCAGGCCTACTTTGCAGTAAGCTGTTTCCAAACAGAAAACACACCCATGAGAAGTGAATCTCCGGTAGCATGGGGCAAAAGGGTAAACCTTCTCTGATCACAAAACACTGACAGGGAAGAATTGATATGGGACTCCTATATAGAGACAATGTGTACGTTCAATCCTATTGGGATATCATCTCAAAGATATCATTCACCACCTCAGGACAGCTATGAGAAGGTCCTTGTGAGTCATGCGCACTATCTAAGTAGGGTGTGTCAATTGTGGCCCAACAGGAACACTGTGGATGGTCAGGAGGCTGTAACCCAATGGAAGAGAAATACCATGTCAAAACCCTGGGTTTCCATTCTGTTCAAACTTTCTAGACCTCTGACTGCTTACCTTCCCCAATTCTGAACTTTTAGGGATGCTAAGTGAAAAAGGCGGGGACAGACATAGAAGGAAAAGTACCTGCTCCTCTCTTCTGGGATTACTATAAGAGGCAAACATATCTGGTACGTACGAGTGTCAAATGTGGAGAGACTGTCACCAGGACTCAATGTTTTAGATTCTTGAAATGTAATTTTCCCAGGAACATCAATGTCAAACAGATGGATCTGCATCACAAATAATTGATTTGGTTACCCCTTTCCCCACAGGCCTCACAGCAGTAGTGGTGGATATCTCACTGTGGTCAGATATGGAAATACTCTTAAGACTGACAATACAAACATTATCCCATTTGCCCATATTGCACCTACAAGCTGACTGACATCAAATCCCTATTGCTCTGTGTGGGATCTCAGGCACAGCATTAAACAATAGGTTTAAATAATCTTGTATTTAAATAAGAGTATTACATAATCTTGTTTCCGGTCTCTGAAGGAACAGGTTCTTTATTTTACCTACTCTATCTACTACAGGAAAATGGGGAAATGATGTGGGTTTTATCACCTGTATTCTACAGGTGTGCAGTATACACAGTTTCCTCATGGGATGTACTATGTTTCTTTTACTCACTATAAATGCTAAGGAAGATTTCTCAGAATCAGAATCAAATTGATGAAACTGGCTAAAGAGGAGGAGACACTTGGGAGGCAGAGACAGGCATAGCTCTGTAAGTCTGAGGCCAGCCTGGTCTACAAGAATAGCCAGGGCTATGCAGAGACCCTGTATCAAAAAACCAACAATGACAGCAAAGAAAACAAAAAGAATGAGCAGCATTTAAAACAGGCAAGCTGTCGGGTAGTGGTGGCACACGCCTTTAATCCCAGCACTCGGGAGGCAGAACCAGGCGGATCTCTGTGAGTTTGAGGCCAGCCTGGACTATAGAGGGAGTTCCAGGAAAGACTCCAAAGCTACATGGAGAAACCCTGTCTCAAAAAAAAAACAAAACTAGAAAACAACAGGCAAGCTGGCATGGGGGCACATGCCTGTAATCCTAGAACTAAGGATGCTCACACACGGGAATTGCCACAAGTTCAAGGCCAGTCTGGACTACTTGAGTTTAATTTAAAGCCACCCTAGGTTACACAGAAAGACCCTGTCTTCAAACAAAACAAAAACAAAACCCCAGTAAAATTTTGCAAAACAAAGTCAGCAATGCATATATAATAATGCATCTCTTCTAAATAAGATTTCTTTTTTTTCTTTTTTTTTTTTTTTTTTTCCGAGACAGGGTTTCTCTGTGTAGCCCTGGATATCCTAGAACTTGCTCTGTTGACCAGGCTGGCCTTGAACTCAGAGATCTGCCTGCCTCTAACTTCCGAGTCCTGGGATTAAAGGTGTGTGCCACCATCACCTGGCTAAAATGAACTTTTTTCCAGGAAAGCAAATGCAGCTTAATATCAGAAAACCAACCGATGTAATTTATCACATGAGTAAAAGAAAAAGGCAGACGATCCCAAGGATGTCTACTGAGCATTAGTGAACTTACGCTGAGGAGTGGTGGCAGTGACTAAACTCAGGCCACACCCGTGCTACATAAGCACTCCACCACTAAGGTGTGTCCAGCCTGTACCTGGTAAACTTCTACAACCAACCGTGATTTTAAAAATGAAACAACAAGACTCTGCCATGAAAGGAACTCTTTTCATCTCATAGTCATACTAAACAGTCCTAAAACAATCATCATATTTAGGGGAAAAACAATGAATGTGTTCCTTCTGAGACTGGAAACAAGGTAAGGACGCCTGTTATTTACTGGTGGTATTCCTGAGGTCCTACACGGAGCAACAAGGAAAAAAAGGTGAAATATGGAAGTAGGAGGAAGAAAGAACGAGACTGTCTTTCTCAGATTATATAATTGGCACTCAAAATTAAATTAGGAGAATTAATGGGTAAGTTCAGTAACGTTGCTACATACAAAACCAGTAGTTTAAAGATTAATTATATTTTTACATCCTAGCAAGAAACAGAAAATGAAAGATGATGAGATTTGTACACCCCCTACTCACCTTTCTGTGCTTTACCAATAAACTTCCATCAGGCCCAAACACAGCACAGGTGTTATACAGTTTCCCGGCATCCTCTTCAGGGATGGAGCCTTTCATTGAGGGAAACACATAGTCACTCCAAGCAATAGCAAAAAAGAATGGGCCGATGACTTTGTGATGCTAGGTAAAGCCCTGGGAAATAGTCACTTGGTCCAATAATAAACTTTATCCCAAGCATTCTTTTTCCTCCTTGAATATATGTCAGTGATTAAACTCCAAATTATTGATAAACTATAATTAGGCCAGACGTCACAGGAAAGTTTAAAAAATAACCAAACTGGCCCTGAAATTCAGTCACGACATTTCACAACAGTTAATATGTAACATTAGAGCAAAATCAGGAATTCCTCATTGCTCAAGTTCATCACCTTACAACAAAACTGAATCCCAGAGACCCCAGGATAAGAATGTTAAGATACAAGCCTTTCTCCATCACAGAACCAATTCGGTACACATTGCCACCACCTATTCATTCCTAAGCCTTAATAATCATGATAATCATGACACAAAATAATCTTGTTCATTATATTTATTGAACCTCTAGAGGTTTACTATGCGTCGCCCCCCCCCCCCCCAATCAGCACATAGAATATAGGTAAGGTTTCTCTTGCCACATTCTATCTAGTCACACTCCTTTTATAGGGAAAGTTATCAGTTCGGTGTGTTTCTTTCTATGGTATTTACTAGGCCTTTTACATATATAACTCCCTGTGAAAGTATACAGTCATCTTTTGTGGAGGAGATTAATCTAAGTGGGCAAATTTTGTTCATAATCATGCTGAACTTGCATGTTTTACACTTAGTGTATCTTGAAGTGTATCCCAAGCTGACGTTGAACTTACAATCCTCCTGCCTCTGCTTTCCAAGGACTGGGATTATAGGTGTATGCCACCATCCCTGGCAACCTCATTCTTTTCAAGGGCTGAAATGTGTTAGTTTAAATGTAACAAAAGGCATTCTAATGTTTTTAAGGTTTAGATGTTACACCACATGGAAGGAATTACCTCCAATGAGATAAACGCTATTCTCCTTTGCTACTTCAGAGAGCTTCTGTGTGGACTCTCCGGGAATCTTCTCTGCATATTCAGGAAAGTAGTTTGTTCCATATGGAGAATTAAAGCATTCCTAGATTAATGTTAGAAGAGAAAAAGGGGAAGCAAACCGTTTCAAATTCTGCAGGAAGTGGAAGCACACTACTTCCCACTCTGGTCCTGTGTGAGCAGATAAACACCTCTAGGAAAAGACCCAAGGCTAAACAGCACACAATCAAGGGCAGACAGGCAATTAGCCCGGTGAGGACGGAGGAAACCCGGGCAGACGGCTAGACCTGGAGATGGTAGAATGACCAGTTTTTGGACATCCAGGCCCACTGTAGCTCAGGTTTATTCTGTGATTTTGGATACTGAGATGAATTCTGGAGTTCAGAATTATCCTAAGTTTGTAAAGCAACAAAACTTATGCATAAAACGTTCTAAAAGCCACAGAAGTGAAGACGCTTTACTCACTGTAGACAAGCTGTTTCTAATCCCATCTTGGCACTGTCCTCCTGATCCTATGATGTCTCTCTCAGACGGAAAAAGTGGGTGAGGATGAAACAAAGATAGGGCTGGGACACCAAGGACAATGACACCAACACACACATACAACACACAGCTGCCTTCAACAGTTCTCTGACGCCTTGAATCCCAACACTGTGCCCAACACAGGCAGAGAGGCAGGTGGATCTCTGAGACTGACACCACCCTGTTCTACAGAGAGTTTCGGGACAGCCAGGGCTACACAGAGAAACCCTGACGAGAGAGAGAGAGAGAGAGAGAGAGAGAGAGAGAGAGAGAGAGGAGAGAGAGAGAGAGAGAGAGAGAGAGAGAGAGAGAGAGAGACAGAGAGAGAGAGAGAGAGAGAGAGAGAGAGAGACAGAGAGAGAGAGAGAGACAGAGAGAGAGAGAGGAGGGGAGGGGAGGGGGAGGGGAGGGGAGGGGAGGGAAGAAAAGGAAAGGAAAGGAAAGGAAAGGAAAGGAAAGGAAAGGAAAGGAAAGGAAAGGAAAGGAAAGGAAAGGAAAGGAAAGGAAAGGAAAGGAAAGGAAAGGAAAGGAAAGGAAGAAAAAAGTGGACTTCTGTAGAATGACATCCAAGACTGACCGACCTCTGGCCTCTCAGGGAGTGTACACACACACACACACACACACACACACACACACACACACACACACACACGAGATTAACAATAAGATTCCCTTTGTTAACGATTCCTGCTTATCCAGGAACTCCAAGGCTGACCCTGTACTTACCTTCCATCAAATATGACACATGATACAACCTTCAACCAAAAGCTCAAAACAATTTTTCAAAAAATGCTGAACAGTGCTAAAACAGCATGGTCTGACCTGAGCTTAAACGTGACAACCACAGAAAAGCCTTCACTATGTAAGGAACAAAGTAAGCATTCAGCCCCTGAGAGTGTGACCTTGAGGTAATTCCCCTGAAATTCTGTATTCCTCATCTGAATAGAGCAGGTGATCCTGTTAGACCTGTAACCATGTTAGACATCTTACGACAAAGACCCCTGCTAGTCTTTGTGATAGAGGAGACAAACACGGAACAATACTAGGGTTCCAAAAGACACCTCTGGAGGTAGGACACATGAGGACCTCCACTGGCAAGCAAGACTGAGGCAGGTCCCCGGCTCCTAGAGAGGGCCGGCTGCCCCCATACTTACCGGCAGGGAGACCACTTTGGCACCTTGCTTGGCTGCCTCCCGGACGAGGCTACAAGCCCGGGCAATGTTATCTGATTTAATGGAAGAAACGTGAAGCTGGATGAGCGCCAATCGGAAAGCTGAGGAAAAAGATCAAAGGAAGCCGTCGTCAGATCTGCCCACTAAGTTCAGAGAGAACCAGGATTCCCAAACAGGGCATCTGGCAACGTTTGGACATGGTATTGATTGTCACAACTACGGGCAATCTAAAGGATAAATTACGTCACCGACACTGACAAAACTTGGCTTCTGATGAAGGCCAGAATTGTCCTTAAAAGTATAAAAACTACGATCTCTCATTCCTTGGTTTATCCTAAATATGGTAAACAAAGCTACGATTCGCCCTGGATGCCTCTTATTGAACAGTGCCAGAATCTGGATAAAAACAAAAGAAACCAAAACCCGGCATTACTTTTAGGTTGACATACCCGAGCTGTCACCAGAGTTCACACAAACTCACAAGGTCCCCCCCCCCGAACCTAAGAAGCTGGGCTGTCTCTGTTTCTGAGGGAAGGGTGGATAAACTCACTACGATCTAGCTTCCACTCTCCCTCAAGCCTCTCTAGGGATAAGGTCCCGACCCAGGCTCGGGGCTGGTGGAAAGCTCCAGAGCAGGCTGGAGCAGGGAAACCCGCCACTGGAGTCCTCCGTGCGCAGGACTTGTGGCTTCACCTCCTCAACTGAAGATCCCTGGCTGCCCTAATAACCATCACACCTTGGCAATGACGATGACCCAAGGGGGAGGGACGCAAAACACCCCGAGTGAAGGGCCCAGTATGAGAACACCATTTAAATGAGCATGCCAGGTCGTTTGCACCTACAAGCATTGACAGACCAGGAAGCTTGCTGTGGGACGTCCGCACCACGTCCCTGGACGAAGTGGCCCTTGAGGCTAACAGACGAAATGTGAAGTTCGAGATGCGACTAACAACCCTCTGTTGGGCGAGGGAGTTAGGGCCACGAAACGTGACACCACCACCCACCCCACAGCTCTGGGACCCGCAGGGGGAGCAGCTCCTACGGCGCAGGACGACTGGCACGGAGACCTGGGCTCGCACGGCGGCCTGGGCTGGCACGGCCGGCGGCCCCACTAGCCCGGGCTTCCCGGAGCAGCCCCGGCTCCGAGCGATCTGAGCGACCGGCAAGGCGGCCCGGGGCACGCAGAGGCCCAAGCCGGCTCATCGGCACCGCCGCACCGAAGCCTCCGCTCCCCCGGGGAGCTCGACGACCAGGCCGCGAGCCACTTACTAGCCATGGCTCTTCTCCGGAGCACCGAGCGCGACGGGGAACGCGACCAGTCAATCCCGTGGCCGAGCGCGGGAGGCGGGGCCGAGCGACGCGCGGAAGGGGCGTGGCCAAGACCTGGGCCGAGGGGCGGGGCCTTGATGAGTTTGGAGCATTAAGTGTTTGGTTTTGACCTTTGTTATTTTGTGCTGGGTTGCAGTGCTGGTCCTTAAGCCGATGGCTTTGCACTTGTTGAGTATCTGCCTACCACTGAGCTACCTCCTTGCCCCGGCTCTGCACTAAAAATGGCTCACTCTTTGCGCTTGCATACATTAGAGAGAAAGGGATAATTACAAATTCTTTAAATAAAGGCCTTCAGAAGGAAGGGCAAAGAGGAGTAGCCTACGTTACGGTGGTGTGCCTTAAATGGTTAAGGAGTGGTACCTTTTGGTAGAAAGGCTCTTTATGTGGTAAAAAAGGACTGAAGTTTCAGGTTGGATCACAGCAGTGGCCAGGGTAATGAATGCTACGTACTGACTGACGTGAGGTGGTGCACCTGGTTGATTCAGGCTAACAGACTTCAGAAGCTTGCTCAGAAGGTGGCAGGGAGAGAGTTGGTGCTAGGCGGTTCTAAGACTTGACGTTTGTGTTTATTACTTAATTCGCTGTTTTGATTCGTTTGGGGGCTTTTCTGGTTTTCAGACGGGGTCTCATGTAACCCACGCTGCCTTTTAATTTATTATGTAGCCGAGGCCGGCCTTGATTCCCGAATGCAGGAACTGAGTCATGTACCACACCCCCCAGCTACACTGCTTTCTAACTTTTGCAGTGGCTGGGGTGAAAGCGCGTAGGTACCTCGTCACATTTGCAGAGCCTGGAAGCAAGGGGACTGGCGAGCTGGGACAAGACCGAAACCAAATGCCTGGAGATCAAATCCCCCAAAAGAAAACTTAGCCAAAAGAGCATGGGGGTGGGGGGGTTGAACCTTTACAAACTTTGGGGTGTAGCATCTGGGGGGTGGGGAGAGAGGCAGAGAGCCAGAAACAACAGTTTAAAAAGGTCAAAGCAGGGGCTGGAGAGATGGCTCAGTGTTGAGAGCACTTACTGCTCCTGTAGAGGACCTGGGTTTGGTTCCCAGCACCCACGTGGTAGCTCAAAGGGATGGCAGAATCATCTAAGAACCTGGGGACATTGTGGAAGAGGGTAAAGAAAGAATATACGAGCCTAAAGGTGTGTGTGAGTGAGTGCTGCAGTATGACTTTATTTCATCCAGGTATAACATATTCACCCCCATCTCCATCTTATACTAGAAACGGCATTGGCCTGGTAGCCACAGCAACTGTTAGAGAGAATGCCAGGTCTAGGGAAATGGATCTTGAAAGGAAAAGTATCCGCTTAAGACCCCCAAGGCCAAGTTCTCAGCACAAAGGAGATTCATTTTCCCCAGAGGGACAGAGGGCAGGGAATAAGAGACCAACACTGGAGACAGAGGACAAGGGAGATGGGGAAGAGAACAAGGGAGAAGGGGGAGGGGTATGTGCCCCAGAGGGACAAAGGACTGCCTCTGGATAGAGAGGAGACAGATGTGGTCCAGAGGTGATGGCAGTTTATAAAGGTTCAGGGGAAACCCTGCGTTAAGATGAGGTGTTTAATTTTAATTGGCATGTTAATGAGGTGAGCCAGGGGGCTTGTGACTGCTTGACTTCAGTACTTTGATAGCTGGACCTTGGTAGTCAGCCTCAGGAGGAGGAAGTAGCCAAATAAGAAGAAAGACCTTAGTGGCCAGCTTTAGGAATGTAATCTAACGGTTTTTAGCAAAGCAGGAATAGGGGAGAAGGGCAAGGCCTGCCGGAACCATGCCTTCCACGCTCAAGTTGGCCAGAGTCCCTTTAGATCTATTGACCTGTCCTAGTAAAAAGAGGAGGGTAGGGTCACAGGACCATTACTTCCTGAGCTCATCATCCTCCTGCCTCAATATTATTCTTGAATAGCTGGGACTATGAGCACCCCAGCACCCATAAGGTGTCATTAGTTTTAAGCTACCTAAGGTGCATGAACAGAAATAGGAATATAGTAGAAATGTTTACTCTGCAGATAAAATACAAATAAAAAAAGGACAGCCTTGAGAACAGAAGTTTTGAGCAAACTTTATCAGTTTATTTACAATTGTAATTTATAAACAGTAACACAAACATCTTTACATTAATATTATGAAAAAAGTCCCATAGCTGAGATGGTTGAAAAATGAGACTTGAGGACATTTCAAAGAGGGTGTCAAGAAAATGGAAAAATGCAATACAATAGTTTGGGGAAAGAGTTATAAATATCAAGTACTGCACAGGTGCAATTTCATGCAAATGTCTTCAACCACTCAAATAAATTGTTTTTATTTAGATATCAGAATAAGGTTCTTTTAATTGTGTTATCTTTTATTCACTTGATTTCCATTAAGCAAATTAAAACAACTGGCTACTAGTGGGGTACATCTAGATATTTCTATCAGCCAACCCCTTACAGAAAATCTATTACGTTTTATGACATGGCAGGTTATAGTTCCTATTTTTCAAACAGATTTTATGAAAATCATCCCATGGTCCAAAAGATGTTTCTGGATCTCTCATCACATGTGACTCATCTGGGCCACAGAAATTAACCTGAGCAAGCTGCAAAATAAAGCAGACTGCTCCGTTTTGTCAGAGTGAAAACAGTTTCAGCTACTGACATTGTTACTGAGAAGACAAAACCAAAAGAACAGTTTTAGAAAGTGATATAAAAACACTGAAATTTCTATGGCTCTCTGATTATCTGTCTTTTTTAAAACTGGACATTAGTGTGGTCCCAGGTGATCATCTCAAGAAGGATAAATCAGAGCAGTCAAAACACTCTGAAATATCCTAGACCAAATGATCCATGGAATAAAGACCAATGACATTTTAAAGATACCATTCTGTCCCCCAAATGCTAATCTGAACCTTAACATGCTTACTTACTTCTAATGCTGTTAACCGCTCCTTAGCAACCACTGGGATGGAGCCTGGAATCTCTGAGGCAGTTAGTGGACAACTAACCACCTCCTGGAGTGAAGAGGAATGAAGCTGATGCTTCAGGGCTTCACTAGGGCTCGGTTTTGAGTTGGCTACACTCTCCATTCATTCCATTAAACAGACTTCAGTCTTTTTAAGAACAGAAACAGTGAGCTAATTATTAATCTATACTTTCAATTTTCTGATATTGCTCATGGCAGCAAAACTCAATGTAGCAATTAACTCTCTTCAACTAAATCTATCTCTAAATTTCAGTGAAGACATTGCAAATATGTATGTGTACAGTTGTTTTAAAACCTGAAAATGATGCATATCCCTTAAAACAGCTCTTCAAAACAGAACTGCATTCTGTGCCCTTGGTCCATAGGGCACAAGGCCAGTTACTTCAAAGTCATTTAATAACTGGCCTTTATAATAAATCATTTTATAAAACCAAAGATGCAAAAGAAATTTTTAAAAAAAGTGTACCCATCCCGAGATTGATTACAATAATTTGCACTTAGACCCTCTACTCAGGCACCCTCATGAGCAAATGAAAGGTCTCTGGTTAGTATTGAGTCAGGAAATATATTTTCATGTTTCTCTTGGTTGCCATAATTTCACTTAAATAATTTTCTTTTACATTAACTTTCCAAAGCATCCAACACTTTCATGATCTGCTGTTTTATGGCTCTGGTAGCATCTCCTGCATTTGGAATCAAATACCTATGGGAGAAAAAAATACAGATGCGTATTAATACAGCACTTCCCCTTCAGGGTTCTACTGAGATGTCGCCTCTAACTAGAAACTTTCCTTGACCAATGAAGCTAGCAGAAATGCCCTCCTGTGTACTCCCACAAACTTACCCCAACAGACAATCAAAACATTACTTGAAAATCTAAAAGTCAAAGTGATGGGACTTTTCATATAACACACAGCTAAGACTCTCTGAACTACCAGTAAGTATGTATAATATCCAAATAAAACACAGGTAAAAGATTATACTTGCTGTGGCGGTTTGAAAGAAAACGGTCCCCAAAGAGAGTGGCACTGTTGGGAGGTGAGACCTTGTTGGAGAAGTGTGTCACTATGGGGGTGGGCTTTGAGGACTCCTATGCTCAAGCTACTCCCAGTGCCACAGTTTACTCCCTGTTGCCTGAGGATCATGATGTAGAACTCCCAGCTCCTTCTCTAGCACCATTTCTGCCTGCACGCTGCCATGTCCTGCCATGATCATAATGAACTAAACCTCTGAAACTATAAGCTACCCAATTAAATGTTTTCCTTATAATAGTTGCCATGGTCATGGTGTCTCTTCACAGCAATAGAAGCCCTAGGACACATGCTGTCTAGTACAGATGTAATTCAATCGGCTACAGTTATAATTTTGTTTCAGCATCCAATTCCAAAGACAATGACAACTCTGGTACTTGCTAGTTTGACCTTAAGCAAAACATTAAGTTGTCTAAAACAGATTCAAACCACCCTCCACTTACGACGTTTTGATGATGGAAAATAAAATACAAATTTAGCATTCTAAGACAAATTTAGTTCACTGAAAAGTCAGCATTTAGTATAGCACTTGTATAATTCTTTTCCTAAAAAAAGTTCACTTGTGTATGTGCATGTGTGTATACACACATGGGCAGGCATGCACACATGCATGTGTGAATCTGTGTAGGTCTGTGTACACAGAGAGCAGAAGAGGGTGCTGGGAACTGACCTCGAGGCCTCAAGCACAGAGCAGGGTCTCTACTGTCGCAGCATGTCTTACTGCTTTGTTTGATGTGACACTGATTTGGTGTGGCCGGTGCTCACAGAGTGTGCAGTGGAGGTCAGGAGAGTTGGGTCTCCTACTCCCACATGGATCCCAGGGACTGAACTCGGGTTGTGAGGCTTGGCGACAAGTGCCTTTATCTGCTTAGCCATCTCTCCTAACCTCTAGATTGTTCCTGATGATCCGGTGTCAAGAAGTTTATGAAATTTGCTACAGCCTTTCTGAACTCACGCATCAGTGTTGAAGGCACCTATGACCAAGCATCAGGAAGAGGGTGGCAAAGGCACCGTCACTGGAGGGAGTGCTTCATGGTCCTATTCCAACACCCACTCACCCAAATCAAGAAGCAACTGGCTAATGATTTGCATTCATTCAGACAATATAAAAACATCTTACCTTTCAATAGCCAAGATTTCTATCCCAGAAGCACTGCTGTTTCCATACTTGAAGGTAATCAGCTCAGGATGTTTTTTTTTGGACGTAATTTTAACTACAGAATTTAGTGCTTGTCGAGACTGGATGTAAGCCAGTCCTTTCCGAGAAAGAATCTCCCGTAAGCAGTACATATGTGTTGCAGTTACCAGCAGGTGACTTGAAAGAAAGAAGTTTAAATGAATGGGATTCAAAGCAGACATGTTACTTCAACAGCTCTAGTATGAGAAAATTCAACTTTAAAAGACATGACTTTTGAGTTAGCTATGAAGCTACTCTATAAACAAGCTACATATTTTTCTTTAATTTTATGCAAAATTGTTTTGTTAACAGATAATACCACAACTATTTAAGAGTTTTATAGTAAGAAGTCCAGTATAATATATAAATAATTTTTAACTCCAATGTACTATCCTGCCATTCTCAAAAGTTTTAACAGGATTCTCTACACTCAAAGTATTCTCTGCCTATACACCATGGTCAATATCGAAGACCACTAAGCAATTGTTGGGTTTCCTTACATATTTTATAATATTTTGCAACTAAATCCTGAAGGCAAAATGGGCATAGATTAAACAACAACAACAGAAAACCCCCAAACTTTTATATCTTAGCTCATAACTTTTAAGACAACAATAAGATAAATTATCAGCCGTGCCTAGAATATGAAACATTTTACAAGATAGCTGGCCTAGACTCCTGAAGAGAACAGTTTGTGGGAGAGAGGTAAAGTTCAGCCATACACTGGACGAGATGAGCATTGACAGACAATGCAGTATGGACCCAGAAGAGAAAGGAGAGATTACCCAAGTTAACTTGGGAATACTGAAAATTCCAGGGTCTCAGTGTTGGGCAATATTAATTTAATAACATTCAGGTGAAGTAATGACATTGGAGTTATGTCAAAAAATGCTCTTATTCTTGGGATATCTATGCTGAAGCATTTAGGGGGAAGTAGCACATGTATAAGCTGCTTCTGAATGACCTGAGTCTGTGCTACGTTTATGGGGACCTGAAGGGATACCAAAAGCTGGCATGTCCAGGAGAGGCATATCAAGGAGTTCAATATACTCACTCAATGTTTTGTCTCAGAATTTTCAAAACACAAATTACTTAAGAACTTTAAAAAACTGAGACACTTAAGACAAGTTGACAGTAGGAAATTCTGTCATTTTGCACTTGAATAAAAGTCCCTTGCAATTACTTTTATATTAACTTCACCCAATTTGAATTTACTTCTAAAGACATTTTCAAAAGTACCTGGGAAACATATGTCCACTTTCTTTGACTTCTTTACAGGGAAAATGATGCTTGGTGTCTGGCTTGTTTATCCAGGTCTGAATGTTTACCACTTCCTTTCTGTCATCATCCGACATTGAAGAACTGTCAATTTCATCTAGGAAGAAAGAAAAGCATTAAACAGGGCATCAGCAACTCAAACACGTTTCTAAGCAACCTGACTTTTTTCAGTGTGTGTTGAACTCATGAGAAAAAGAGGGAAAAAAAAGCCATCTAATCCTACTGGCTATATTACGCAACAACAACTTTACGGTAAGAAGTCCAGTCAGACTTGGGTACATATTGAAGAGTTTTGATAAGTGCAACACAACTGTGGTTCTACCCTGTCAGCAATAAGCATCTCTCTTGAGGCAAAGGAGGCCATGCTCTCCTTTGCCAGTTTCTGATTTTAAATAGAAAATAACACTAAATTCAACCTACATTACATAAGGAAAATATTTTTCATGAAAAAAAACCCACAACATTCTAATTTTGCTTTTCTAATGTAAGAAAAAGGAATTACAGGTTCCTAGGGTTAATAGTTTTAAATGCTTCTCCCTTTGTACTTGTGTGTGTGTTCCTGTGAGTGCACGTGTGTGCAAGCACCTGTGGAGGTCAGAGGATAACCTCTGGTGTCAATCTTCAGAAGCCAACTACTTTCTAAATTTTTGAATTTTTATATTTATTTCCTTATCGTTAAACTATCTGTTAGTTTTATTTATGTGCACGTGTGTGTCAGTGTATGCCATGTGTGGGGATGCCTGTAGAGGACAGGAGAGAACAAGCAGTTGTGAGCCACTTGACATGGTATTGGGAAACAGGCTCAGGCCCCCTGGAAAAGCGGCAAGTGCTCTTAACTGCTGAGCCATCTCTCCAACCTGGTTCATTTTGTACATGTATGTGGGTGTGGGTGCTAGGTGTAGGTGCAGAGATTCTTTTTTAGGAATCAGGTCTATCCTTCCATTCTGTGGGTCCTGAACTTAAGTTACCATGCTTGGTAGCAAACATCTTTACCTGCCAACCCATCTGACCTCTCCCTTCCCCTTCACAATCACCTTTCTTTTTTCTTTCCTTTCTTTTTTTTTTTTTCCTTTACTTATATTCTCGAGATAGAGTTTCTCTGGGTATCTCTGGCTGTCCTGGAACTCTCTCTGTAGACTAGGCTGGTCTTGAACTCAGAGGTCTGCCTGCCTCTTCCTCCCAAGTGCTGGGATTAAACTCAGGTGCCACCATGCCTGGCACAACCACTATGGGGCGTTTACCCACCAACCCCACAGCTCCCCAGAGTTTTGAGTGTGAGCAGCAGGAAATATTAGATAGAAGGATTTATATTACGGAGATAAACAGATAGAAAATAAAGGATAGCCTCGAGAGGGCCTGGAACCTTTTCCAAACGGGCCCCGACTGTCTCTGCCCCAGGGTATTTATAGAGACACCAAGGGGTGGAGCAAAAGATCTCCCCCGCCCCCAGCACAGCCAAGTGCAGACCATCTCAGACACCCGCACTCAGGCCCGTGGTCCTAATCATCCTCTATGCGGACATGCTGGGTAAAGCCATGAGGAACCTGAAAACAGGCTCCCACAAACCACCTTTCTTTTGGAGATAGGGTTTTCACTGGCCTGGCGCTCAGTAAGCAGACCAGGCTGGCTGGCCAGCCAGTGGACAAATTCCGGGACCATATGTCTGCATTCTGGCTGCTGGGATTACCAGCATGGGCCACTGTGGTAACTAGTTTTATGACAACTTAACAGTAATTCTGAAAGAGAAAACCGCAACTGAGAAAATGCCCCAGTAGACGGGTCTAAGCAAGTGTGTGGTGAGTTTTCTTATTGATGATTGATGTGAGAAGGCCCGATCACTATATGCAGTGTCAGCCCTGGGCTGGTGGATCTGGGTGCTATAAGAAAGCAGGCAGAGTAAACCATGAAAAACAAGCCAGTAAGCAGCACTCCTCCCTGGCTTCTGCTTCAGGTCCTGCCTCCAGGTTCTGTCCTTGAGTTCCTGCCCTCAGTGATGGAGATGACCTGAGAGCGGCAACATGAAACAAACCCTTCCCTCCAAGTTGCTTTGATCATGCCATTTCATGCCAGCACCGGAAACCCTAACTAAGCCACCACAGTAACTTCCTTAAGTGGCAGAGGGGACTGAACTCAGGTCCAAGCACTTTACTGACTGGGTTATCTCCCCAGTCCTTTCCCTCTGCTTTTAAATAACTAGTTCAAAATACAGACGATGCAAAAGAAAATGTCATATGTCAATATTCCAGCTTAAGTAGTAGTAAAGCCCTCATGGTATCACTCCTTAATCAGAGTCCCTTTACTGACAAATACTGACCACCTCTGTGAGAACAGTTCTACATGTGTCTTTTCTGTCATCAATTTGTTCGTCTTAATAATGTGGGAGTGTTTTGCAGTTCCCATGAGGGAGGCAATGTAATTACATCCATTCTCCTGTGCCTTTCCTATTCTCCTAAGACTGCTGCATGTATGCACACTGGCACATGTGGTCCTGGTTTCCATATCATAAATACGTGTGTGTGCAGGGAAGTGTTAGACCACAATCTACTCGTCCACTCGCCTCCACTCTGGCTCATGAAGGAAGCTGAGACAATCCGAAGGACCAAATGCATAGCAACAGGAAGATGGCAACAGAGGGACCACGAAAGGACAAAGAAATAACTAGAAATACGCGTACTTCAATGCAAGTTTTCTAGTGGTCAATTCTGTGACAGTTACAGAAATATCAAATATGTTTCTCTTTAGCAATCCTACTGCTAAGAGTTAACTCTCCAGATATACTTTCAAAGTTCATCTTGATATATGTATAAAAATGTAGTCATTTAAAACTGACAGAAATCAGGAAACTACTAGAGTTGAATCCTAAACTAGGCAAGCAGGTGATTATACATGATGAAGAGAATAAACAGATAAGATGGGGTAAACATCAGGTATTACTAAGTGGAAAGGACAATGGCATTTAGGAGTCTTTCCCTCATTTTTGTACACATTAACATAGCTTTTTCTAACTCAATGTACACATTAACCATGGTTACTTAATCACATAATTGAGGCTGTGGAATTATAAGTAAAATTGATAAACTGAATTTTTAAACACAAAGACAATCCTAGGTGAGGTAACTCTTCCTGGCACCACAGTGCCATCTAGTGGCCTTGTAGGACCTTTGCAACTTCCTCCAGTCCCCCAGATCTCAGGCTCCAGGAGGAGGGGTGGGTGTACAAAGGGTTAAATACAACTGCCACAAACTGCCTCTTAGCTGAAGACTCCGGTTAGTGGAGACCTATGCAAAACTTCTGCTTAGATTTTTAGTAGGCACAATTCAAGAATTCTAAAAACAAAGCATTACATTACATTTCATAGCAGTACCAAAATTGCAGTTATGAAGTAGTAATGAAAACAATTGTATGGTTGGGGTCACTGTATTAAAGGGCCAGAGTATAAGGAAGGGTGAGAGCCACCGCCCTCAACTTCTTGCTACAGTAGTTTGTTCTGTGAAGCGTCTGTGTTCCAGTCCCAGGATGACTGCCACCCGGGGATGTGTAAACGAGCCTGCACATTAGTGTATCACTCAACCTGTGTCGTACTCCTCTTCATCCCCAATGCTGAACACGGGCTTTACTCCACGGTAAGGCTTGCCCACTCGGTCGCTGCTGCTCACATGCCTGTATTCAAACAAGTTAAGGAAAGAAACATCACTAAGAAGGAACCAAAGAGTTTTAACTATTCAAACAAAATAGTTTTGCCCTTCACAGACCACCCATAGCTTCAGGACAACTATTATAAGAAAAATGAAAGAAGATAAATTATGTGGGTGAAAAGGCATTATGTCCAGCCAAGTTAAACAATTTCAATGCTCCTATTTAATCCAGTGGTTAGATGCTTCGGTGTCTGAGGATTCTGCCCTTCAGAATTACTGTGAAAATTAACAAGCTATCCCTCTCCTTTCAAAGCTCCCTGTCTTTCAAACAAATCCTTTCAAACAATCCCTGTCTACAGTGGGTGATATGTACACGTTTACTGCACCGAGAACCCAGCAGGAAGGCTGGAGGCTCCTTTGGAAGCTGCAGGTTTCTCAGTTTTCCCTCTCTGTTTCCATCACTGCTGCCTCTGTTCTAGTCCATACCAAGATTCTACTTCTTTTGCATAAATTAAAATATTTCCGTAAAGTACTACATAGTTATGGGAAATTGTTTCCTTTGTAGGAGAACTACCCACTACCAAAAAGACTAGAAGTGTTCTTTCTTCATCTACCATGAAAACACTCAATCTTCTGTTTTTCAAGAGTCTTAATCTGGGGGGGGGGGGGGGCGAATCTTCATTTAAATAGACTTATTTACTTTTTTTTTTTTTTTTTTGGTTTTTCGAGACAGGGTTTCTCTGTGTAGCTTTGTGCCTTTCCTGGAACTCACTTTTAAATCAAGCCTCCTCAAAGCAAGCAAGCAAGCAAACACTAATTGAGTTTAGTATGACAGATCCTCTTAGAATTACAAGTTAGGTTAACCTGTACTTAAAATTTTATTGATTTAAAAGTAAAAATTTTGTTTTTACTTTATTATTATTATTATTATTATTGGTTTTGCCTGCATGTATGTCTGTATAAGGATGTCAGATCCCCTAGAATTGAAGTTTCAGACAGTTGTGAGCTGCCACATGGGTGCTGGGAATTGAACCTGGATCCTCTGGAAGAGCAGCCAGTGCTCTTAATTGCTCCAGCTAGTTGAAACATTTCTAATGCAAAATTATCCTGTAAGCTATCAAACTTGATAGGAGGTATCAAGAGTTTAGACCTGGAACGTCCCCCAGAGAAGCAGGTGGTAAAGCTTATTCCCAGTGTGGAGCTCTTTGGAAGGTGGCAGAAACGACAAGCTGTTTCCAAGCTAAGTTTCTGGGATTAAACTCAGGTTCTCATGCTTGCAAGGCAAACATTTTACTGACTAAGCTCCTTACCCTACAGTGAAAAGTTTGTATGAACAAGAATAATAAAGATTTCTGTGACATTTCTTTAAATTCCCACAAGTGTAATGAAATCCAATGGAGTTTTTTTTATTTACACTGATTTGTTTGGACTATTTTTTAAAGGTAGTATATTGATATTTTTATCAGAAATAAGATACATCTACAGAAATAGTTTGGACAAAAATTAACTTGCTGAGCTCAGAAATAAACTTGATTCATTCAAATTGCTAACTGAATTGCACTTTCAAAACAAATACACCTGGACATGGACCACCAAAGATACAAGTAAAAGAAAAATTAAGATTCTGGGGAAAACAAATTTAAACTGCCCAAGAGGCCAACTCAGTGGTCTCATAGAAGGATGATTCATGAACAGATGATAGTTCCCAATAGAACAATTTTCCTTAAAATAGCCGAAGGGAAATTAAACAGTTCTCCTCTAACCGCCTTGTGTAGGAACAGTCAGATATTCAAGTTATTCAAGTGTTATTTTTAAAATGCTTTTTCCAATTACTGAAAATACTGAAATGATGAGACAGTAAACCCACAATGGCTTACTTTCTACCCAGACTCTTCAGAAATTCTCTCTTAGTATTTGCTGTGTGTTCACAGACTTGTATGTGTCATGGAGTGTAAGCAGAGGGCAGAGGACAATTCGTGGCAGTTGGGTCTCTCCTTCCACCATGTGGGTCCTGGGATCAAACTCAGGGAGTCAGCCGTGGCAACAGGTATCTGTATGTGCTCAGCCATCTCACTGGCCTTACACTTTCTTTTGTAAATGTTCAGTTATTGCTATATTAATATCCTATTGTTATTTATATTAATACTTAAACCGAAGAAAATTCTGCAAGAATGACAATTATAATGAAGCATAAAGTTATTAAGTTGGTAGTGCTCATTTGCTTAACATAATTTAAAGACTCCAAGTTTTAACCTTAAATCAAATCTTTGTATCAGTCACCACCTGCCATCTTACTGGGGAGAGAGAAGGAAACAGCTTAGACAGTAAAATGTCTCCCATGGTCTCCTTCACGGAAAATCCAAATGCAGAACCCTAGAACTACAGTTCTTTCAAACAGATTTATACATGTTAATTCATCAACCTAAATGCATATATCCCATTAAGAAAAATCAGAAAATATACATTTACATAAAGTACATGAGTTAAAACTTGATGCCAAGGATGTGGCTCACTGGTAAAGAACATGCATCAGCATGTTCTAGACCCTTGGTTTAACTCCAGCATCAGGTTTTGGACCATGAACTGTTTCTAAATTTAGGTGTTGTAGTTTTATGTAAGGGCAGAAGAGAATGGTAAATTATTGATACACTAATGTTCTGATAACTCCTGACTCCATGGATATTGTCCTGTTTTCCTTTCCCTGCTTCAGAGTAAAAACTGCAGAACTTATAAAGTCCTTGGGTTTGAGCAAGTTTGATTTTCATCTGAGGAATGGGAGATGGAAACATGCAAGGGAAAAAAATCAAGCACAAAACAAAACAGAAAGCACAATGTCAGAGTGGTACACTCCCATAATCATACTGAAAAGGTTAGCTTTAGAAAGAGCAGCATGGGCTGGGCGGTGTGGCGCACGCCTTTAATACCAGCACTTGGGAGGCAGAGTCAGGAGGATCTCTGTGAGATTGAGGCCTGCCTGGTCTACAGAGCGAGATCTAGGACAGGCACCAAAACTACACAGAGAAAACCTGTCTCAAAACCCACCCCCCCCAAAAAAAGAGCAGCATGAAACTTTAGCCAAGGCAGCACAAGGTTCACAGACAGCAGGGGCATGCTAGAGGAAACTGACAGATGGGATGGATCAGTTGGGCTGCTCTACTCATTCGCTTACCGCTCTGTACATGATCTGTCTGGCCAAGGAAGATTGAAAGACATTCTATAGCAAATCAAGGCAGAGGACAGAACAAAATGATTATAAAAAAAACCGCAGCAACTTTAGAAAATACATAATAAAATCAATTTCTCAACCCAGCACAGACATTATAAAGAAAATATTTCAATCATCTCAAGCACAAAGGGAAATGAAGAGAAGCCAGTTTTATATGATACTTTACCGGACAACAGTCTTTTCAACTTACAGCTATCATTTGTCAATCTTAAAGGAAACTAGTGTACTTTAAAACAAAAATTTTAATGTTCATACACAAAATGTAGCAGCAAGACTGGGGACTCAGAAGCACTGACTGAGAGCTTGGCTTTTGAGAGCAGATGTAACTTTATTGAGCGGACAAATCTTTCAGGCTTGATCAATACTTTAATACTGGCTATTTTAGATGAGGCACAATTTCTGCATTAGTGAAGACAACCTCCTCATTACCTTTGTACTTACTAAATAGGATATACTTCTGTATGTGATGTGCACTCTACTGAAAGGGGTGCTCAGTTCTTAACACCAGTGTCTCAACTTTCCCAGTACTTGCATGGAAGACAGGAGAGGAAATCAAATGCTAACTCATGCGCATGCTCAGGCTTGCTCAGAAACGAATCCCACATTTGAATTAGAAAGAATCTTTCGGCTTTTGCACTGTGACGTGGCATCGTCTACGAAGTTCACACTTGAGAACTGTGCAATCAAGTTACACACATCACAAAAGTATCCCATAATATTTTAAATTTGGCCACACTCACAGCTATCCTGGGCTGCAGAATGTGCACCCGTGAATTAGACTACCACACACAAAAGTGTATCCTATACTCAGAACAAACAGCAAAACAAATATCTTCCAATGTGCTTGTCTGTTGCTCATCATGTCCCCTTTTTAATTCATGAAAAAATGGACTTCATTCATATTTTTAAACAAATTCCTACAGAGATCTGAACTTAGGAAAGTAGGATTGCATTGTATTAAGCATGACCAAATTATCTAGGTTTTAAATTCTTGGAGCAGAAGTTCCTGTTGTGAACTAACTGTCCGGTGGCATTTAGAGGGTAGCTGCTCTATGAACTATTAACCACAAACACAGGGACATGGGATTATTTTAATGAAGGGAATGAAGGGAAAACTCGGAAGCCTCTTCCTCTGAAAACTGGGAAAGGGACCTATAGAGAGAACACAAGCAGTAAGCTCAGCCCTGCAGTTAGGATGAAATCAAATTTGACAGAAAATGTATGGTCCAGTTCTACACTACTTTCAACGAAGTTCATTCACTGTGAGACACATCTCTTCAGTTTTAAGTATCCATCATAAGTCCATACTGTATAAGAGACTCACCGGTCCACAGGAGTTGATGTATTCTCAATAAAACTGATGACCTTCTCCCTGACATTAACAGATTTCGTCTTTAGAGCCACAGTCATTTTATTTACAAGGGACTTCATTCCTCTATCGTTTGAGCCATTACAAGATTCACCCTGAAAAACAAGAACATCGATGAACCAATCTCTAGGTAATTAACACATACATGACTGTTAAAGATTATCTACACTGTAGACAGAATTGTATCCCCACCAAATTCATGCTGAAGTACTAAAATCCAGTGCATCTCAGAAAGCCACTGTATTTGGACAAAGGGCCTTTAGAGAAATAATTAGAATTAAATTAGGTCAGGGTAGGTTCAATTCTATATACTGGGGGAGAGTGTACATTTGGCCTTTCCTCTACACACATTCCCATGTCTCCTCTTCTGTGAAGAGTGGGTTAGAGGCTGGGGAGAAGACTCAGTTGGTCAAGTGTTCACCATGCAAGCAGGACGATCTGCTTTAGATCCCCACCCCCTTGTGAAACTGAGGCACAGCAGTATACATCTACAACCCCAGAACTGCACTAGGGAGGGACAGGAACCACAGGACAGTACCGGTCATTGGCCATCCAATCTATCTGAACTGGTAAGCCCCAGGTCCATTAAGAGGCCTGTCTCAAAAATAATAAGGTGACTGAGAAAGACAGATGTCAACCTCTGGCCTACAAGAGTGCACAGACATGAAGCTGTGTTTGTAACAGAAAAAGGTGGAAATATAAGTACTTAGCAACATGGTATTAACTAAATAAATTAAAACACATACACAATGGAATATTATTTAGTTCTTGTATGCCTAGAGGATCAAGGTAAAAAGAAATCCTCAGAGAAGCCTTGTCTGCCAATGTGACAATGATCTGTTTTGATCACATGGCAGAAAAAAAGCCCCCACACATCTACAGTGCATCACTATGTACATTCCTGTCACCTAGTCCTCAGGCCCTCCTTACGGGACCAGTCTGTTAACACTGTATTGCACAGGCAGAGAAACCACAGCTCAAAGGTCTTACTGGAAATCAGAAAAAGGGGAAGCTGTGTTGCGGAATATTTGTTTAATTCTGTTAAGATGTGTGGCTGTTTTACCTTGCTGCCTAAGGCACCTGGTTAGTCTAACAACAAGCTGAACTGCCAGTAGTGAGGGATGAGGTATAGGCAGAACTCCCAGGTTAGTGAGGGATGAGGTATAGGCAGAACTCCCAGGTTAGTGAGGGATGAGGTATAGGCAGAACTCCCAGGTTAGTGAGGGATGAGGTATAGGCAGAACTCCCAGGTTAGTGAGGGATGAGGTATAGGCAGAACTCCCAGGTTAGTGAGGGATGAGGTATAGGCAGAACTCCCAGGTTAGTGAGGGATGAGGTATAGGCAGAACTCCCAGGCAGGGAGAGTAAGTAGGAGGAGGAATTTAGGCTCGAGAGAAAGCAAAAGAAATGCCAGGGGGACACCAGGGGCCAGCCAGGAGACACGGAGGAAGCAGGGAAGTAAGACATACAGAATGAAAGAAAGGTAAAAAGCCGCAAGGCCAAACGTAGATGAACAGAAACAGGTTAGATTGAGTTAAAAGAGCTAGAGGGACAAGCCTAAGCTAAGGCCACACACTCACAATTAATAAGAAGTCTCTGTGTCTTAATTTAGGAGCTGTTTGGCAGCCCAAGAAAATTCCAACTACCAATTTGTACAGATGAATTCTGGACCCAAGAATGGCAGAGACCTAAGTCCAAATGAGTAAATGTGTTCCTGTACATCACTTTTGTCTCTGTTTTACAGAATAAACACTATAAATGACACTTAATAAACATTGTTTATTAAGAAAACAATGTAATGACATCTAATTCAACTGACAAGACTTTTTGCCCAGGTATTTCCAAAGCAAAACACATGTACTTACCCCCATAACAAAAACGCACATAATTCACATCATAATAACTAACCATCAAATATATTAAGTGGGCCAACTTTTTACTTTCTCTACTTGGACCATTCACGCATGGAAACAGACTGAAGTCTTTCTTAATCATGTAAGCTCACAGTGAGGAAGGATACAGGAACACTATGCAGGAGATGTGGACAGAGTCTAGTATTCTGCCAGCCCAGACAAAATGAGCTCTCACTGAAGAGAGCTCCAGCCAGTTCATCACTTCATTAACCTCACAATAGTTAAGTCCTCATTGTGTACTAAATCTTTGCTGTTGTGCTGGAGTTTGAAAGTTAAGCACCTTTTCTGGAAACTGATCCACCATGTTCTCCACATGTACTCACATCAACAGAACTGATGCTGCTCCTTGAGCCTGAGGTACTAGCAATCCAATGGCCATATCCACTTTCTGGTCCCTCCACATTAATGTCGGCCAGGTGCTGCTGCAGGGCTTATGACAAACAAGACAGACAAAGCAAAAGCTGAGACTCTGGAAAGATGGAAGTATAATAACAGAGCACAGGGAAATGAAGAACCATCCAAGGACATAATCGACAAATGTGCTGTCCTGCACCCTCACTAAGAACTCCAGGCCACAGCCAACCTTCCTCTCCAGCTGTCTAAAGCCCTCTGCCATCCCGAGAGTGAAGATTAGGAAAGCTTTTGTTTCCTTACAAAGCCATCTTTCAAGTACTAACAGATATATGTGCAGAACTCAACAGAATGAAGAATTAATAGAAAACCTAGGAGACATCAATCCATTTTCCCATAATAATGTAGACTTAGGCAGTAATGGTCAGACAAAGATTAATGCAGGGGGAAAAAAAAACCTTTAAAAGGCTTTCTAAAACTCTAGACTAAAACTCCAGCACTCAGGAATCTGAAGAAGGAAGAAAATGAGTCTGGGTCACATGGAGTGCCTGGGATAAGTAACAAGTTCCAGGCCAGCTTAGGCTGGAAGGACTGCAAGAACACTCGAGAATTATATGACTAGTAACCCACTTTTGTATTGTGTTATGAGGATTTCTAGTAACAGTAGGTAATGCATCAATATTTGTTTATCAGTATCTTTTTTTTTTTTTTTTTTGAGACAGGGTCTCATTATGTAGTCCTGGCTAGCCTCAAACTCACGGAGATCCACCTGCCTCTGACTTCTGAGTGCTGCACTTAAATGTGTCCCACCTGGCAACAATATATTTTAAAAAATTTTTTGAGACAGGGTCTCATTTGTCCCAAACTGTTCTCAAATTTGCTAGGTAGCTGAGGATAACCTTGATCCTCCTATCTCTACCTCCAGAGAGCTGGGAAGTAAATCCAAGGGCCTTGTGCATGCTAGGAAAGCACTCCACAAAATAAGCTATAGCCCCAACTCTCACTTACACACACTTACACACACACACACACACACACACACACACACACACACACACACGTACTCATGCACACACATCTTTGTTGTGAATGGGAGGGATTTTGTTTATTTTGCTATTTATTTATTTGTTTGTTTATTTATTTGAGATGGGGTTTTGCTATATAGTTCAGGCTGGCCTGGAACTTCCTATGTAGCACAGTCAATTGGTCCTCAAACTCCTGGTCCACTTAAAGGCTGAGGCAAAAGGATCAGGAGTTAGAGGATGTAGCTCAGAGGGAAAATGCTTGTCTTGCATGCATGAGCCCCTGGGTTCAATCCCAAGCACCTTGTGAAATAAAAACAAAAGGGTTTGAAACAGAAGCTAAGTAAGCACATTTATGTATCTAAATGGTCTGTATTCACTCATTTCAATCGCCTATGTCATCTGTTATCTATGTATGCTCTGCTTGCCTCCTCTTTTCTGAAACTACGAAATGACTGAAGACAGAAGATACACAATAACTAGTTTATAATTCTAAATCAGCGCTACTGATAATTACTGTATTTTTTGTCTGAAAAGTAGAAGCAAAATTAATACATTAAGGCTTACCCATAAATCCTCCACTGGCAATACTAACATATTCTTTGTTTTTCTGTAATAAAAGACAAAATGTAAATTATTACAAAATGCAGCTTAGTTAAAGCTCCGGGTAGTCCTAAAGTCCTAAAATATATAGTTACATCTTACATTTCTAGCATGTCACTTTCCTTGACAGTCTGGACTTCAGCACAGAGTAACATGTCTGGATCTGGCATGTTGTAGGAGTTGGTGCTTGAGCAAATGAGAGGGGACAGCTTCATGGCCATTAAGACTGTGTGTGGTTTTATTTGTGTTATAGTCTCCACAGTACAAGGGTCAAACAAAATGGAATGAAATGACATTTCAGAATGTCATCAAAGTAGGATTTTAAAGTTTGAAATCTTTTGCGTCCTTTTCTAAAAGGTAATATAAATATATTATAGCTGGTTATAAAAAAGGAAATGACGGAATTACCATTTTGCAAACTACTAAAAACTTGTAAACATTAGATGCGTTGCTTTCCAGGCTAAGTCCTCAAGGTTGCAAAGCTGAGACAGCCTGGGCTACACAAAAGGGGAGAAACAAAACAACCAAAAAACCTAAGGCTAAAAAGATGACTCAGCAGGTAAAGGCACTTGCCACCAAGCCTGAGAGCCTGAGTCTGACCTCCAGAACCCACACGGTAGGAGGAGAACAGGATCTCACGAGCCGTGCTCTGCTCCACGCATGCACTATGTCATGCGTGCATGTGCACACTGGTGCACTATGTCATGCGTGCATGTGCACACTGGTGCACTATGTCATGCGTGCATGTGCACACTGGTGCAATATGTCATGCGTGCATGTGCACACTGGTGCAATATGTCATGCGTGCATGTGCACACTGGTGCAATATGTCATGCGTGCATGTGCACACTGGTGCAATATGTCATGCTTGTATGTGCACACTGGTGCAATATGTCATGCGTGCATGTGCACACTGGTGCACATACAAAGAAATGAACTAAAATGTCATATTTTCTAATTCAAAAACAAAAGGAAAATACATAACGGATTTAAGTGATGGCAAAGCAAAGCAGATATGGAGAAAGAAACACCAGGTGAACATAAGTAGAAAACCAGTAGTAGGAAAACTACAAAGACAAACTTTTTGGGTTGTTTCAACAAATACATGCAAGGATACAATTAAAAACTGGAAGCCCATAAATTAAAAACTTAACAATGCCATGATTTAAAACCCATAAAAAGCAAGAAAATGAGAATAGTATTTTTTGTATTAAAGTATGACAGTATGATTATGTTATAAAGATTTTATCACAGTCTGTTCCTCCACTTTAAAAAAAATTAGCTGGTTTTGATGGAACACACCTTTAATCCCAAGCACTTGGAAGGCAAAGGCAGGTGGATATCTGTGAGTTTGTGGCCAGCCTGATCTACACAGTGAGTTCAGAACAGCCAGAGCTAGGTAGAGAAAATCTGACTCAAAACAAAACAAAACAACCACCACCACCACCAACAACAACAACAAAACATTTAAAGATTAAAAAAAAAACAACAACAACCTTATATTTATTTGTGTAGGTATATGCACGTGAGTGCAGTTGCCTGCAAAGACATCAGATCCCCTGGAACTGGAATTACAAAAGATGCAAGTTGTCTTTAGTGGATGCTAGGAACCAAACTGCTAGCCAACTCTTTAGTCCCCTACTTTTCTATTTTTATTTATCTTCATTTTGTGTGTATGCATGTGTGTTGGGGCATACAAACACATGTGTGGTGTGTGCATGTGTAGGCAAAAGCCAGAAATCAATGGTAGGTCTTCCTCATGAGCTTGCAATCTTTTTTGAGACAAGGTCATTCATTGAACCATTCTGGGATTATAGGTACACACCACCACACCAGACTTTTTATGTGGGTGGTGGGGATTGAACTCAGGACCTCAAGACTCTGTGGCAAGCACCGTACTAAGCCATCTCCCCAGGCCCCCAATTCTTCTACCTTGCAATTTCTTTGAAAGTTTTGTGATGAAAATTAGGGGGAAGGAATTCTAAAACTCCATCAAGAATTTAAATAATAAACAACAAAGTTCATAATAGCCCAAACTCCTGCCATATGATATCCCTTACAGCATAGTTTATACTGGAACATTTTAAAATGGGTCAGTTAGGTTTATGACTAAGGTGAGTCTGAACTCTGTACTCTCCCAAATAAACCTTAAGAATGTGTAAAGGCACTGAATAAACTCTCTGTCAAAGACCTTTGCTTCTCTGACGTTTTTCCCAAAGACTTAAGTGTTAGAATTTTCTCAAACCAAGTTCCTCAGAAAATACAACAGAACTAGAAATGGATCAAGATGGAGTGGCTGTGGAGGATCAAGACCACTGTCTTCCTGTGGGTGGACTTCAGGGTGGGACCGACCAGAAAAAGTACTGAACTAACAGCTGTTTTTATAAAGAGCCATCAATGGCCGAGCCACTGAGGCAGAGGGTCAACTGCATAAAATCACAATGCACAGGAGCTGTGTTAAAGCTCCAGGTGGAAAATATGTCACGGGTAATGAATAAATATGTGTGTGTGTGTGTGTAATATATATATATATTGTATATATATATATATATATATATATACAATATATATAATCAAAACAAGCAAAATCATTCAAATAAATCAGATCTCTACTATTAAAAGTTCTAGAACATGAAGAGAGAAAGATGAACACAACAGAGTAATCTGGGGATACATTCTGGCACAGAGGAAGCCAGTATGTTAAAAAAAAAAAACTCATCAACAAAACCATAGCACAGTTAGTTTCCTATTTGGAAAAAAAAAAAAAATCACGTCCTACATCACTTCTTACACAAAAAATTGATTCCATATGGTTTATAACTTCAAAAATATCATATGAGCATATAACAAAAATATTGCAAAGAAGATATTTCTAATAAGATAACAAGTAAAGAAGCAGTTATAAAGAATATAGATAAATCCGGTAGAGTATACAAAAGCATACTCATTAGCTGTGGATTTCTTCAAGGTGTTGGCAACAACCAAGCCAGATGAGATAGTCTATGTCAGCGTACCTGTAAAAAGTGTGCCAGCACCATGTTCATATACATGTCTTCTTCCTCTCGGCCACTGCCCATAAAACAGAGGTGCTCCCCACCGGCAATGGAGCCAGACTCAAGGGACTGCTTCTGTGCTTCCAGCAAGGACTTCACTGACTGTGCAAACTCGGATGGATTCTGGAGCATCTAGACAATTGCAAAAATTTGAAATCTGGCAAACATACATTTGCAAACCTTGAAATATATTTCCAAGCACACTACCAACATTAAAATCAAGCATAAAAGGAATGGAAAATGAAAAGGCTTAGTTAGGTAAGTACAACTCCAGGGATAAAATAAAAGTTTCATGTATATATTGGAACAAAGGCTGAGGAAAAATACTGTTCAATTAGAGGGAAAAAATTGTTTCATAAATAACAAAGTCCAGCTACAGTAATCCTGAATCATGGTGGCTAAAAGGGTTTAACTTCAAACAGAATAAGTAAAAACTACAGATCAAAACTGTAGGCGGAGTTTTCCTGTCCCACAGCCGTTCAACCAGTAGCCGCTTCCCAAATAGCTGACTCAGAGACTTAATACAAATTATAAATGCTCAGCGAATAGCTCAGGCTTATTGCTAACTAGCTCTTAAATGTTAAGCTAACCTATATTCCTTATTTACACTCTGCCACATGGTGGTACCTTTATTAGCATGGCACATTCATCTCCTGCTCCCCCTGCTTCCGCCTGGCCACTCTTCTGACTCTGCCCAAGATCAGCTTTGGACTACACACTGCTCAGGATAATTCCAAGGTGGCTAGCTGAGATGGTCCACTCTCATGTACTACTCCAGCCAGGACTTCAGACAAGCCCTTTACTTTCCCATCACTCAGAGACTGACAACAAATGATATAGCTAGCTCTCCCAGGGCTTGAGCACTGTTTTGGTTTTTTTCAGGGTCCCCTAGAGATGCTGTTGCCCCTTGGACAGCAGGAAGTAATTTTAAGTACACAACGCCCACATTCCCAAGAGGTGGGGTGGATGGTTTTTGGTCTTTCACTGGCTTATGGATATTTGCCATTGTGTAGGGGGGTTAGTTACAAGTTGTTACTGGGTATGGTCAAAAAAAAGGGTGGGGGGAAGATAGATATGATAGGATAAAAAGGTAAATTATTGAATCTACTTCAAACTAAAAAAGCAACTACTAGTCTTAAATAATTTATATTGGTATGAATTTTTTATATTGATACCAATTTAAGGTTTTTTTGTTATACTATATATATATGTTTCTACTTCTGTTTAAGGTATGTTTGTATATTGTTACAAATTTGAGGTTATTGTCCTTATACTGTACATCTGATTCTATTTTTGCTTAAGGCATTACTTATACAGTTCCTACCTATACAGCTTATTTAATTATGCAATGTGAAGTTAGTCCTTAAAAACTATTTAGGATAATAAAAAATAAAGGCTAATAGTCACTCATAACTATCAAATATCATAACTATAGTCATGTTAGTTAGGTTTTCTAGGTATACAGAGATATATTTCAGATAGACAGGTAATCCTTAAACAATTCAAAGATCTACAGAATATGGCATTTAAAATGTTTTAATAACTTAGACTTTTCTCAACATGAGATACGTCTGCTCTTGGCAGCACTGATCTACTTCGAAAAAGGATGATGGACGTTGAAGAAACTTCATATGGAGTTTGCTTTCTTTGTGGCAAAAACTAGCCATTAGGGCAAGAAACTGCCCTTGCCTCGACTGTTGACAGTACACTGTCCAAACTGGACAAGCAGAACATAAAGAAAGGTGACTGTCGAATTTTGCAAAGACAGAGTAAGACAGTCCTTCAAAATTTCCTGCTTCTGAAAAACGTCTGTCAGATATTCTAGGCCTGTAGGCCAAAGATAGATACCCCAATATTGCAGAGGAACCTTGGGGGACTGTCCAGGAAGTCAGCTGTTTCTGTCATTTCTCACATTTTTTGGAAGTCGCTTGCTTGCACTTCCTGCTTACTCAGGTAATATTAATTCCTTCTCAGGTCTTTGATGGGGTTGAAGACTAGATAGACAGTTACAGTTACAGTTCTCCTGAATCTTGGCAAAAGGCATATTAAGTACAAAAGTTTGGACTCTTCAGGAGAGGACAGCTAAGGGAGTAACCTCTATAAATTTGCCAACTACTTATGGACTGAACATTGAGAATGTATTTCTTACTTGATAATTGTTCTTATATGTAGTTTCATTTTTGTTAAGGTTATTACCTTTCCTTTCTATTTGGACACTACTTGACAACAATTCTTATGGTATACAGTTTTACTATGTTAGAATTAGAACCTTTCCTTCTTAAGACAAAAAGGGGGAAATGTTACAGGAATTCTGTCACCAGTCTGCTAGCCAATTGAAAGGAGTGTTTTGGTCCAAGGGGCAGGGTTTTCATTGGGGATGGACATGACTGGAAGAAGAGGCAGAGCGGAGGAGTGTGTGGCCCATTTCAAGCAAGGAGCAAGTGATGGTGGCTGTTAGCGGTGGCTTGTCATTCGGCTCAAGTTCCCCTTTTGTTCCTTCATATTTGTGCATGGATTTTATTTGTTAATAAATGGTAGAGACATCCTTTTACACAAAGTAGTCCTGTTTTTTAGTTTCCACTTACAAGGCAATCCATGTATTTCTTAGAAAACATCAGAAACATTAGAGACCATTTACTTATCATTTACTTTAGGTATTGATAAAACAAAGATCAAAAACTCATTTTTTATACAGAATGAACTAAACATGCCAATAACTACAAAAATTTTAAGCTATTCTTACTGAAATCACATACAAACTACAGTAAAATCCAATAAAAAATAGATCATAGAGAAGAGCAATTTCTTACATTAGTTTTAAAGATTTATTTATGGTTATATATATGTACATGTGCCTGCGTGTGTGTGTGTGTGTGTGTGTGTGTGTGTGTGTGTGTGTGTGTGTGTGTGTGTGTGTTTGTGTGTGTTTGTGTGTGTGTGTGTGTGTGTGGTGTGTGTGAATGCACCAATATGTACAAGTGCTTATGGAGGCCAGAAGACGGGTCAGATCTCCTGGAACTGGACTTTTAAGCAATTGTGAGCTGTCATGTGGGTGCTAGGAAACAAACTCAAGTCCTCTGCAAGATCAACATGTGCTCTTAACCTCTTAGCCGTCTCTCCAGCACCATAGGAAAAGAAACTTTAAAAAGAGAGACAAAGGTGCTTGCACCTTACTTGTTTACCTCTATTTTCAGCCATCATTCTAGAAAACAAACAGAAAACCCAGGACTGATAATGCCCAAGAATGCGGCTGCTACAAAACACGCAAAGATGAGGTCCACGGTACTTCAGATCTCTAAAGAGCAATGTCCATAGCCCTCAACCCACTAACTGTACCTCCAATAGTCTACTTCTTTACAGAACTATGTGAAAAACCTACACAGAATATGTGTAATGTTTTCAACAGCAGCTTTGTTACACAAAACCTGAAAGTAATTCAAATGTACATTAATCGAGAACAAACTATGGTAGTATCTGTACCAGGGACCTTTATGAAACATTGAAGGAAATGTGTTTAAATGAAAGATCTCTAAGAAACTGTTAAGCAAAAATAAAGTGGACAAAGAAAAAATATGTACATATGTATTAAAGGTGAAGATTGAGCAAGCTGACAATAGAGTTTATTCAGAATATTTTTTAAAAGAATGTTAATTCATGAAAATGAAGGTATCTATCAATCACGAGTAAATTTTAAGAACAAGCATGACAGAAATCAGAGGGAGAGGCACAGCGCTCATGCAGGGGACACCCACAGGCTAGCATGTCCTTTCTCACCCATGATGTCAGAATTCTGGGCCCTACCTTCATTTTCTGTCAGTTCCTCTCAATACCACCCAGCCCTGAAACACATCCTCTGGCCCCAGGGCCAACATCTCCAGACATGATGAGGAAGAGAACAGGAGGCGGTGGCGGTGGTAGTAGGGTGTGTGTCGGGTGTGTGTGTGGGGGGGGTTCCTCCCTATTCCTATGTCTGCTCCTATCTCTGAGGCTCTACAACCTCAGAGTGGCTTACATGGTGCCAGTCTCAACAGTTCTAAGCACCTGTTATGACCATATTTATTTTACCCACTTCTCCAACAGAAATCACTCAAGGATAGTAACTTTAACAGGTAAGCACATACATGTCAGCTACTACTGTGCCCACCTATCAGCTTTTTATATACATACTCATAAACTTTAAAAACAGCTTCCAGCAAAACCATCTAGGTGTCTTATCCAATTATGCTAAGAGCTCATATTTCTACAGTACTTACTAGGTGCAAGGCACAATGCTAAGTGATCTACCCTTGAGATTGCTCACAGTAAGTGCAGAATTGACTGACATAACAATGGGAAGGAACAGTGAGCCACAGTTAACAGCTGTCACTCTTTATGATGACACTGACCCCAGGAGAAAAGGGAACCCTAGCCCTACCCACAGACAGACTCTGCCTTAAGGAAAAGGAAAGCATCCTCATCAGGTCACGAAATCTGGTCATGAGCCAAAGGGGAAAGCACTGTCTCTTGTAGAACATCTGCCGCGCACTCGTACTAACCAGGTCTGAATCTAAGTGGAACGCTGTTGACAAATGTCCGGCATTATACTGTTCTGCAGGACGGCAGTCCACCACGAAGAACCGGACTCCTTCCTAAAAGGGAAACAACATTTGACATTCTGGAATTTGACATGAAGTTTACATCACATGACAGAACCGTGAAAAGAAACCAAAATATGGGGAAAAAGCGTTTTGTAAATGGATCTCACAGGGAATTAGGAGGACCCAATTTGTATAGACACAAAAAAGTAACTTTTAGGATCTAAATACTTACTTCTGTTTTAAATAGTTAACACATTTTTTTTTTAATGTATTGAGCTTGAAAGTCTCAATATGTAGCAAGAGGCTGGCAATTTGAGCTGAAATACTAAATATAGTAGAAATCAACACTTTTTATTATCTTAAACACAGTGCCAGATAAAATTATTTTCAGGTCCACAAATTTACCAGCAATCCAATTCAAAGAACTAAACATTTTTCAGTATATGGAGGAGCTAGGTTTACACGAGTCTTTTTAACCTGGACTTTATTTTCTTTTTAATGTTACTTATGCAAAGAAAAACGTGAGTGAGTGTTTACAACAAGCCCAGACAAAGACAGAGCTACAGTAGGAAGTTGAACTTGACGTGCTATAAAAGCCCCATCTCCTCACAACTGAGCCTCTTCCAGGCACAGTCTTGGAAATACAGCACATATTCCAGAGCTTAGCCATGGCACTGTTATTTGGGCACATACCCAAAAGCTCACTCATTAAACTGACTCATATTTTTATGAAGAACACACAAGAACACCATGACATATTTTCATAACTCTCTTTGGTTTGCTTTATGGCATTAAACCATAATTCAGCAAGCTGTGTAACTGCCCAGGACTTAACTGTCAGAGGCTAAGTCCACCCTTTAAGTTCTTCCCACAGTTCCATGTTCACTGGCTTTAATGACATGTGAAAAGGGAAACTGTTGTCGAGAGAGATGAGAATAATTGAATTGTTGGCAGTACAAATAAATACACAAGCCACATGGACAGGAGACGGAGCATCCTTATCTCTAGGCAATGTGATGTAAATGAATTGTATGGGAATGCTGATTATTTCTTGTCGGCAGCAGGTACTGAACCCAGGGCCTCGGTCATACAAAATCCGTGCTAACACTCAGCTATAACTGCAGCCCCAGCTCTCTACACTTCCAGGGCACAGCTTCTGATGGGGCTTTGCTTGGCTTACCCTTTGCAGCTGGTTTGCTTGAAGGATCTCTGACACTGAAACAGCCAGACACAGAGCCTGGCTCAGATCTGCCTCTTCATCCTTGATTCCCAACAGTGTACTACCAAAGAGATGATGATTGTCCTACACAAAGAGAAAACGGTGAACATTAAAAGGAAAATCAAAATGTTCTTCCTACAAGTACTTTTCATTAAACTATGATGAAATGTAAAATTGTTACCACCTTGAGTCTAACTGATTTTTTAAAACTTAGTAACATATAATCTCAAAGTTCACTGTGTGTGTGTGTGTGTGTGTGTGTGTGTGTGTGTGTGTGTGTGTGTCACAAAGTCTCTGTCAGAATTCACACAAAATCAAAGACTAAGAAGAATCCTTCCACACAGTTCTATCCTAACACCTACATTAAACATTAACTGCTGGGGCCAAAGCAGTCAGTAGTAGAATAAGCTTCCCCAGCATGCTCAAGACACTGGTCTGCCTGGTGTAACGGTGCCCACTGTTAACTGGGAAGGTGAGACAGGAGTACTGCATCAACTCAGACCAGCCTGCGCCACAGAGCAAGAGCCAGGCTAATCAGGCTATAGAACAAGACCTGTCCAAAAGAGGGTAAGAAGGCTGTGGGTTTGAACCCCAGCACTGGAGTAAGAGCACAATGATGAATGGGTCAAAGAAGAAATAAAAAAGAAATAAAAAATTCCATGAAAACACAACACAACAAAACCTCTAGGACACAGTGAAAGCATCCCATGAGAGAAATTTACAGTTCTAACTGCCTATTTTAAAAAAAATCAGAAAGAGCACAAATAAATGACTTAATGATGCTATTTAAAAAACTGGAAAAACAAGAACAAACTAAACCAAACCCAGTAATTAGCAAGAAATTATAAAAAAAATCAGAGCAGAAATAGAAATAAAGAAATAAAACAATACAAAGAATCACTGAATCTAAGAGCTGGTTCTTTGTGAAGATAAATAAGATAGATACATCCTTGGCCCAACTAACTAAAATATTGTGCTCAAAGCACTATTTGGAGCAATAAGGGAAGAGAAGGAAATTAAAGGATTACAAATAGGAAAAGAAGTCAAACATCCCTATTTGAAAATGACATACATAAGAGACCCCCAAAATTCTACCAGAAAACTTCTCAGAATACTGAGCAAATTCAACTGCATGTTTGGATACAGAATCACCTCGCACAAATCAGTAGTTTTTCTATACATCGACAACAAATGTAGGAGGCACAGAGGATCTTGTTTTCACAGATAAACACTAGCGGAACCAGGAATATTAAATACACAAGG